TGGTTACTATTCATGTGTTAACCCCAAAATTTTAGCAAACTTTGAAAATTCATAATTGAATGTAGAAAAATAAAAACTTGGTGGTTCTAGCCTCTATTTCAAATCTTTTAATGTTCTGCAAGAGAAAAATATTCCCAATTTATTGGTCCACGTACACCTTAAAACATTTCCAATTTCAAATGAAAGCTACACTGTTCATTTGGTCAAACAGTGATTTCAAGATTTCTTAACTTAAAAAATTCATAACTTTGAGCACACAACTCCAAAATTAGTTATCTACCACTTTATTTAAAACTTAAGACATGCACTATAAGCTCGTCATGTATTTAGGGTAGATTCATTTACTACCTTAGGCACGTTACAGTCATAGCAACATAGATTCAAAAGCAATATTTCATCCTCCATAAAAATGCCCTTGGAATTTGATTAACTAAGCATATAACCAAACATGCCCCATACAAGCAAGTCAACCTTCATTCTTTACTATGAACAATATATAATAAAAGTCACAGTCCCATACATAACTTGTTTAATAATTTACAATCCTTGCAAAACATATAATCAAAATAAGTCATAACATAACATAATAATTCTTCTCTTCATCACATCTCCATATATTTCTCCTTACCTTCAGAAGTTTCAGCCCCTAATTTGGTGACATATTAAGTGTAATAGGGATGAGATTTTAAAGAAACCTTAGTAGTAAAAAATATTAACAACAATGTCAATAATGCATGATTATCAAATAAGCACAAATAATGCCACAGAGCAAGGAGCATAAGTATTACTTTAATTCATGACAAGACTCTACAAGAATATTGCCAAGGCATAACAATGCAAGGCTCAACCACAATCATGGCATAAAAGTACAACATAACAATCAAGTAAGTTAACATTAAAGTTCAGTATTCTTGTTACATTTCACCAAAGCTAGATCCTTGGTCCTTTCCTCTTGAGTTTGAAGCTTCCTTTGATGGCTACCAAGTCCTATCATCCACATAATTGAGGCATTTTAAATACCAAACCATAAGTTCATAATAAACTCCCTTAAATCCCTTAACCTTTAACTAGGATTTTACGGTTTTTTTACCATCCTTCTTAAAATTATTTTTACATGCCATTCCCACATAAAATTTGCATGTAGAATCCTTTTCTAAACTTAGATTTATCAAAATTCAACTTTTCCCTATCAAACTCCATTTGGCCAAAACATTAGGGTTAGGGTTGAAAAATTCCATCTTCAAATTGAATGCTTCCAATCACTTTCTTTTAATGTAACCTTACATAATTTTTCCTTCTAAACTCATTGAAAGTATCAAATTAACATGAATCAAACCTTAGGCCATCCAATCCCTCTTGGCTGAAAATTACACATAGGTTGAGCAACAAAAAAATTCTTCCATTTCACATGTAGTACCATAAGATTCTTATCTTTTTCTACCTCTTAATCATCAATCTAACCTTAAATTATTCCTAGCTTGCTTTAAGTAACTTTGGACAACATCAAGACTTAGGGTTTCTAACTCCTTAAACTTATCAAGAACCATAGACAGACTCAATCAACACAAGCAACAACATAAACATCAACAGAAACCAATTCTTGTATAGAGTTGATGCTTGATTTGCTTAGTGATTCCTCGTTCTATTTTCTCTTTCTTCCTTTTCCTCTTTGGCTCTCAAATTTTTGTTCTCTTCCTCTCTTCCTTGCTTTGGCGAAAATCCTTGAGAAAATAGAAGAGAAGAGGTATTTATGATACCATGAAATTTAACTATATTGGAAGGTTATCTCAAGTCCAAACTTAGCCCTCAAACTTGGTTGAAACTACATGGGTGAGGTGTCATCATCTTAGACTCCACAAGCGTCTCTTAACTTCATTGAAATGTGATTTAAATTTCATAACTAAATTGGAATGTCATTTGAAATCCAAAATATCATTTTAATCCATTTTCATAACATGCCTTCACATGCTCTTTCTCGAAAAATTCCCACCAATAAGAGCACAATAAATGCTGCCAAAATAGAGAGGAAGAAGGAAGAAAAATGACTTTTCCGTTAGATTTAAGGTTTTGATAATAACAAAATAAGTAGTTAAGTTTCTCTGCATAACTATTAAGCTGTTATTCGATCATATGTTGGATCATTGAGTTGTTTGATCATGTGTTAGATAAATGACTGAATATCTATGAGTTTAATATTGTTAAGATTTATCGATAACATGTCGCATAACTACGATTTTAAATAACCTATTAGATAAATGTATTCTTTGATTACCTTATCAATCATTGGTAAACTTGCTTGAATATGGTTATTGTTAGTAAATTATCCATCATTTGATCGATAAATTAGATGTTCGATAAGCTATCATGTAAAAAGGATAAGTTTTTCATTATTGACAGGCTTTTATCAATAACCTTAGGGATAAATGAGATTATCGATCACATGTCAGATAATTGGTAAGTTTCCTTCAAATCATATCTATTTAGATCACATTTTGAGTTATCTATCACCTTATCAATAATCATACTAATCGGTAACTTGCTCTACAATTGTCTACATCTGATTTGCTAAACTTCCTACTATGTTCGGTAAGCTGTTCGATTAAGTTTCTCTCAGTCTTACTCAACTTCAAGTTTTATTCAATCAATTATCGATCATTTTATCGATAATCACAATTATCGGTCATCTAATCGATAAATGCACTTATCAATCACTTTATTGATAAAAGTTACGTGTTCCTATCTTACTCTATTTGAAATGTTTCAGATAACTTTTTAGATGGCATGTTCGATCAAGTCATTTATCGATAACGTTTCAAATAAATTTATTTCAAATGATTTTCTACAGTTACTTCAATTATCAATAAGCTGTTAGATAAAGTGGATTATCGATAATTTGTTCCATAAAGCTCAAATGCATTTCCAGAAATTGGTCTTCACACTGTTTTTTAGAAATATAATATTATGATATTCTTTAAGCTTTTCTTTGCCTTCAGTAATCATTTTATATTCTTATGAAAGGTAGAGAAGGCACCTGATTCAAGTTATAAGCTTTTCAACTGATTTCATATGTATTCTCTTGATAAAATCACTTTGACTATAATTCACTATTTTTTGATAATTTGTTCCATAAAATGTATGATCCATAATGACATCGATAAATGAGTCTATTTGTCAGTTTGCCTCATTTCCAATTAATTGATAACTTCATCGATTAAGCTAATTATCGAGCTAATTATCGATCGAATCTTTGATAATTTGATTATCTAATTCTTTGATCTTTGATTTTTGATTTTCACTTCTTGCATTAAATCCAAGGATCATCATTTCTTCTGTTATTCATTCATATTCTCTCATGAAGAAAACTTACCTCTCTACCGAGACATTTCCACAAGTTGTGAAGCTCAACAGTTATATTATAGGCTCAGACTATTGTGTCGGAAGTGCATTTATTACGAGCAACCGTTACAACTCCCAACACATGCAATCGGTATCCCAAAGGTTACAAGTTCTTGTGTCTAACGGAAACTTGAAAGACTCTAACTATAAATGGCACGAAGAGCGTTGAATGAAGTAGTGAATATACTGAGGTACCAACTGTCAAAATTAATCTCTGCTTTCATTACTCTATTTTTACTTTTTTTAATATAAAGTATGTGAGAGGGATTATTTTAACTTACATGAAAGGTTGTTATAAGTGTGGATGGAACTTATGACTAATAATTTATAAGTAGTTTTTTAAATCATAATTTAAAAAATAGGAGGTGAAAATAAGAATATAAGAAGAGTTTTGAAAGTAACATAAAACATAATCCAAATACGCCTTAGACGGCTGATAATTAGAGAACAATATTAGATAGTGATATGCCGATTCATCTGCCGCCAGCAAACGCAATCCTCTATGCCACGATCCCATAATTCTCTCAGTAAGGGGTGGGCCGCAACGATGTATGTGTCTCAAATTTAGAACCGGTAATATGGGTTAAGCCTGTAGGCTCAACCTGCTAAACTGTCAAGAAGTGGCAGGTTAGGTTGATATGGATCTTTTGAGCCAGTAATTACTAAGACCGAACCCGCAGTGGGCTAATCACAGGGTTAGTGCACTAGCCCGTTTTACGTTTTTTTTTTAAAAAAAAAATTCCCCTTTGAAACGCATGGTCTCTCCCCCTCTTTTTTTTTTTAAAAAAATTTTTTGCTTCGAAAGGCAGCAATTTCCTCCCCTCATTCTTTAGTCATTTGCATTTCGCTCGAGCTCTTAGCCTCTCTGAGTCTCTGCCCCCTCAACTCTCATCTTTTTCACTTTATATTATAAACTTTATTTGTGGCAGAGTCAGCTAGACAAAGAGATGGTGGTTTTACTTCTCAAGTTCAATCAAATAATTTCACATCTTTAGATCATGCTTTTAACCCTATCAATATTGAGTGATGACTCATGATTTAGTATTTGATAGTGATTTATATAGTGATAGATTATGTTTGTGACTTTGTGTTATTGTTGATTTGGATTTATATTTTAATCTATGATGTTTGTTAAATTATTTAGGATGTATCATGTATGTTTGATATTTTGAGACATTTGAAACTTTGAATTCCATGTTTTATTTATGATAATTTTTATTTACATGTTTCATTTTAGGTATTTAGGAATTTGAGTTGATTTTATTAAAAGAAAATAAAAGTAAAAAATAAGTTTACAAAAATTGGTGGATTGAGTTGGAAAAATTTCAACCCTCTGGAAGTCGGTCCTAAAAAGACCTATCAGGCCTATCACGGGTTGGCCCGTATTACAGCTCTAGTCTTGATCCAGTGTGGCGCCACTCCCCGTATAGCATGCGTGGAGAAGACAACGGTGTCGTATTCGAGGTTTACGGCAAGCCTGCTGGATTCAACATTTTCTTCCGGCTCTCCACGTTCTTCATGCATCGAGCTCGTTTATGAAGTTATCATAAAATCTGCTTATAATTTCTAATCGCGATCTCTTGCGGTTAATGTTATGATCAAACTATGAAGAAAATGGTTTCATCAATAGTTCTGAGAAAACAACGTCGTAATGGGAGACGCGCGGGGACTTCCTCCACGCACTGAATCCGTACGCGCCGTGTATTCAGATTTAATATGAAAATCTCAGTTTTACTTAAACCCACTGAAATCTTGCGTTGATTTTCTGAAATCTTGCGTTGATTCTCTTTCATCTGGTCAGAGGAGCAGTTGGATACGAACTATACTTGTAGTGTCGTGCAGAAATGGCTGGTAAAGCTCCCTTTATTCCTCTGCTTACACCTTACAAGATGGGCAATTTCAATCTATCCCATAGGTACTCAGACTCCTCATCAATTTCTTCTATTTCTCTGCTTTAAAGTTCACGCCGATAAGGTGTTTGTGAAAACTCCCAGCTGAGAATTGATATGGATCGTGATGTCTATAATTCTTGATAATCACAAATTTTGAAATTTGGTATCTTCAGATAGGAAAAATTATTCTTTTCGAAAAGTATGAGTGGCTTATAGTTTTCTAATTCAAAATAAAAGTTTATTTTAGCCCTGTTGCTTTATTTTTTTATTTTTTATTTTATTTTCTTGAGGATTTACAGTTTTACACCTGTTTTTTGCAAAGTTGAGTGAATTTTCTTTTTGAGGTGAGAAGTAACTTATTTTGAGTAAATCTTTTTTGTTTAATTGATTTGAATGATTTCTTTTCTTAAAGATAGAAACTGTTGAGTAAATGTGGACTATCCAAATTATTAACTGAATGATCAGTGTGCAATTAAAATGACTATCATTTTCCCATGTATGGATTGCTTCATTTTTAGTGTGATAAAGGCCATTCGCTATACCAAAACAAATTTTCACGGTTTTCCTCATAGAATTGAGCTCAACATAACAATTGCTGAAGGAAAACAAATTATTCGTGGAAATATACCGTGAGAAATACCTACTGTTGGGATGATGATGATTTGGTGGGAAAATCAACAATACCATTTCTTATCAATCAGTTAATCTGAAAGGTCAACATCTGTTGGGAGTCATTTTTCATTTTAATAAAAGAAGACATTTAAGCAATCAAGGAATAGTCGACAGGAATTTGCCCAAAATAAATTATTCTTGAAAAAAGGTTAGGAAATCTGAATTCAAGAAATAGGATAGCAAGGTGTTGATAATTTTAATTTGTTTGTGCATACATCTTCTTTACTTGTGTGCTATGAAAATCACATGCATCAACTACATACAGAGTTGTTTGGCACCACTGACTAGACAGAGATGCTACAACTATGTTCCTCAGCCTCATGTTATCTTATTTTACTCTCAACGAACTACTAAGGGGGGTCTTCTGATTGCTGAAGCTACTGGTGTTTCCGACACTGCTCAAGGGTAATTTGCACATTTTCATTATTTTCATGTTAATCTTATCGAATGTTGCATCAACACATTTGCGTACTAGACATGATATAATATGATATATAAGATATGACAGAATTTGAAATTTTAGAATATGAGTAGAGGGATGTATACGCATTTGTATAATTATTTATATATATAATCAACATATCTCTACTGATAAAAAAGGTAAAGATTTGTATTGAATGTTCTAAAAACTATAGGATAAATGTTAGAACAAACTACATGCATGAATAAATGTCCATAACAATTTGCAGATAAAATATTTATTGTTTATCACAAAAAGAAGATACTACTATTTGTTGTTTATTTTTAAATGCAAAACATCAGTTGATTAAAAAAATGCAGAAGTGTCACATTTCCATTAACGCTCATGAGATCCTTTTGCTATCTGATAGAATCGGCTTTATTTACCAGACCTATAAAAGTAAAATTAGCAAGATACATGAAAGAGTAAAATCACTTTCTGCTACCCTGGACGTTGGCCTCAAGCTTTATTGTCTTTTAGAGAAAGTTATGAGCATATTAGTTACTCTAGAGTGGCTATAGGCCTGACCTAGGAAACTGTTGTATTGGGGGTTGTGAGGATCACTTTTTGGACTATTAATATTCGTTGGGTTCTCAGGGGAAGGGGGACTTGTTTTTTGGACTGAGTTTGGTGAGGAGAGTGCTGGCCTCTCGAATGCCAGGTGAGGGGTGGAGGAAGAGAGTCTTTCTTCATCATTTTCTTTGCATTTCAGTGTATATTTTAGTGTGCTAGTGAGTTGAGTGACCTTTGTTGTTTCCTGTGTGAGCTGTGCCAGTTATATATTGTATTGAACCCAGCCTTTTGTGTGATTAATATCAGTTTCAGCATTACTTGCCTACTGTTTTATCTTGGTCTCTATAATTTTGGTATCAGAGCAGTGAGATCTTAGGGCTGTAGGTAGGAAGAATGGTGAAGGATGGAAGATGGTACAAAACACTACCTTTTTTCTACGGAGAGGATCCCTTTGAATGGGTCTGTCAGGTGGAAAAATTTCCTAAACAGCTTCATCGCAGAGGATGAAAAGTTGGAGGTTGCTGTGGCATGTCTTTGGGGAAAAGCTATGGACTGGCTTATTTGGTTTGACACCCAAGCAACCATACAAAGCTGGAGTGAGCTCAAAAGAGAGATAATAAAAAGGTTCTCTACTAAACAAGAGCTGCGAAAAGGAAATGAAGGGAATAAGTTTGTGGAAGCAGAGGAAAACTCAGAGACAAAAATGGAAGTTGAAGATGGGGTAATAGAAGAGAAAGAAGACAAGAAGAAATCAGATGAGCAAGAAGAGGGAAAGGAAGAGCCTACTGTTCAGCAACAATTTAAGTTGGCGCCTTTTTCACTTGAAGAGAAGATTGAAAAAGATCAACCTGAGCTGCAGCTTGTAACGGCACCAAAGTCCTTTGATGTTAAAAGAAGTGATTTCATAAGCCCAGAGGAAGCCACAACCGAGAATGAAGTAGGGAAAGAACTGAAGGCTGAACAACTAATAAAGTTTCAACCTTTTTCTGGAAGAGAGGAGCTTGAAGAAGTTTTCAGCAACCATCCAAAAGAAAGACTGATACACGAAGGTTGTCAAGTCTCACAAGCTACCAAAATAATGATAAGCAGTTCCATCGAAACTCAACAAATGGGTGCAGCTGCAGCAAAAGCGACCAAGAAGGAGACACAAAACTGTAATCTTGAGAAGAGGAAAAAATATTGGAAATATGATAAGCGACGAAGAAAGAAGCTAAAGGCAGAGTTGAAACCGTTGACTCTTAAGACCTTGCGAGACGTTGTTGAAGATTTTCAGTTAGAAGGAAAAATGCAAGAAGATGTTGAGAAGGAAGATGAGAAGCAAAATGATGATGAGCAAGAGGGAGAAAAACTTGCAGCGGCTGGAAAACAAATTAAGATACCAATTTCTTTGGGCAAAAGTAAGATGCGGGAGACGAAGGAGAAGGTAGCAGTAGTAGGGCATGCAAACAATGATGCGTTCGAACGTTTCGGGACCATATGGCATTTCATCTCAACGCATGAGCAAGCACAAGGGGAGTCGTCATCCGAATTCAGTCAAGACCGCAGAAACCAACGGCCCCAAAACTGGTCGTTAAACACAGGAGGGAGAGGAAACGGCAAAGGTAGGGTAAGAAGCAAATGGAGACTGGATCGGGTTAAGCTAATTGCTTGTAGTGGAAGCCTAAAAATAGGTAAAATTGGGCTCAATATCTTCTTACATTATGAGAGGGGAATGACCCAGTCGCATACACCAACTGATTTCAGAGTTATTAAGAGGAAGATGGGCTTGGGCTTTAAAGTAGCCCAAAGCCTTCAATCCATAACGCGGCAATCCAATTCATCTTCAAATATATTGACGGGAACATTTCCATTGCGCTTTTGGGAACCAGCCAAGGGTAGTCTGAATACAGGGGTGGAAGGCGTCGAAACAGAGGCGACTTTCTTTCCTACTAAAACAACCCTTGGTGCCTACAAGAAATTCTGCAAATTCGTATGTTCTAGTTTCGGAGGTTTTAGCGATGTACAGCAATGTCTCTTCTGTGCAAATACCGACGATACATACTGGAAGCTTGGGAAACAAAAAATTCACTCCACCCCACTTGCTTATTCCCGTGCTGCATGTTCTGGGATTAACGGGTTGACTGGCCCTATAGGAAACAAATCAGAGGCTCATGATTTGGAGACTTTGGGTTTACGTAGAGAAGTTTTCTGGGTTATTGAGACTTCTGAAGAGACAGATTATTGGGCCTTCGCATTCGAGAACTTCAAAACACTAAAGAGGGTCCAGGTGCGTTTTGTTCTGGTAGAAGTTATATTCTGGTTTAACCAGAAAATTCAGTTTGTGTTAGTGAAAACTTGGGAAGAGGAAGATGGATGCCTATTTTTATTACATAATATCTCAGTTGTACCTCTCCCTGATTTCGAACTATTCTATGGCTTTAATGAGGAATTCAGTACACCCAACGTCTCCCATCAGTTTATATTGCCTCTGACTTGCTTCTCTGAGCAAGGACTATGTGCTGAAGACAGTAACACGTGGGTCAGGGTTAAAGGTCTTTTTGGGGAGTTATGGCCGAACCAAGGGAGAATGACCATACATCTTCGACTTCGATTCTGGTTAATGGGTAAAAGGTCTTTTGTGCTGGAGATTATTGTGTGGGCTGTCATAATTTCTGGTCAAGGGGAGTTAATAATCACTTTCAATGCTCAAGTGGCTGGAGGTGATAGGTCTGCATCTGTTCTGCATAATGCTTCAGATATCTCTGCTGTTTTTAAGCTCCTAATTGAAGCTAGTGATGAATTAGACGCATTTAGGGCCATCTATCAGAATATAGCAATTTTATTTATGGCCCATTGCTTCCGACAGGTGGAATATGCTGACAAAATTGAGGGGCTAACTAGAATTTGTGGTTTTGTCAGCAAAAGAACAGATATTCAGCTACAAATTTTCTCAAGAGCCAATGAAGAAAATAGAAGTGCATTTTCAGGCATAGAAGTTGAAGATATCGCCCAAGGATTGACGAAGAATGGCATGATTATGGAAACAGATGAACATGTAATTCATGGTTCCGCCACCTATCACCTTGAGGACAAGGTGCAGCTTTTAGGGGAGGGTAATGATAGAATCGGCTTTATTTACCAGACCTATAAAAGTAAAATTAGCAAGATACATGAAAGAGTAAAATCACTTTCTGCTACCCTGGACGTTGGCCTCAAGCTTTATTGTCTTTTAGAGAAAGTTATTGAGCATATTAGTTACTCTAGAGTGGCTATAGGCCTGACCTAGGAAACTGTTGTATTGGGGGTTGTGAGGATCACTTTTTGGACTATTAATATTCGTTGGGTTCTCAGGGGAAGGGGGACTTGTTTTTTGGACTGAGTTTGGTGAGGAGAGTGCTGGCCTCTCGAATGCCAGGTGAGGGGTGGAGGAAGAGAGTCTTTCTTCATCATTTTCTTTGTATTTCAGTGTATATTTTAGTGTGCTAGTGAGTTGAGTGACCTTTGTTGTTTCCTGTGTGAGCTGTGCCAGTTATATATTGTATTGAACCCAGCCTTTTTTGTGATTAATATCAGTTTCAGCATTACTTGCCTACTGTTTTATCTTGGTCTCTATCACTATCCCACCATGGAAGTACAAGAAAGGTTCTATTTTACTGTGAAGATTTGAGGCAATATGGATTAATGCATAACAACACAGCCGGTGTGTGTATCTGCAAGTATAATACACATATTGTGTATCATGTATCTGACGTAAATATGCCTATTTTTCTAAAGTATCAGTACATTATAGGTTTTATATATCTATATATTTTTTGCCAGGATGTTTTACAAAACGTGTTTCTTTTTTGGTGTTTTGTTTTTAATGTAAAGGTATGAGCATACACCAGGCATATGGACAAGAGAGCAGGTGGAAGCATGGAAACCCATTGTGCATGCTGTTCATTCCAAAGGTGGTATATTCTTTTGTCAGATTTGGCACGTTGGAAGGGTTTCAAATACAGGTATTCTCTAGCTAAATTTTATGAACTATAATAATGGATCTAAATCTTAGAATTTTTATTAAGAAATCTCTCAATGATTAATATTATTTGTGAAAACCAAAGGATCAAATTGGACATAGGACGAAATACCCTTAGTTAATACCAGGTTATGCAAACATTTCTGGCATGTTTTTTAAATCACTACAAAGTTATAGGAATGTTAGCATCTGGGCTTAGGAAATTAACGACAAAGTTTTTTGAGTTATTCGCCCATCATACCATGTTACCTGTATGATATAATGGGCTGCTTCCTTTGGTCCTAGATGTAAGAATGCTAGGATTTAAGCAATTACATTGAAAACATGGTAGGTAATTACCTAAATTGTGGCGGTAAGTTTCATATATAACTGTGTAACAATTTTCTTAAACCTGATGATAACGTTTTTAATATAGTTTGGTTGTAACTTACAACATGGTGGTAAAATTCTTATCATTTTGAAACAACTTATTCACCACCTTGTATTAATTACTTCCGCTATTAAAAAAGGCATATTCTTCCAAGAACTTTTAGCCATTGTTTTATCTTCTGCATTATATGGAAGGAAAATACTTAAGTTTTATGTACATGTTGAATGTATCCTCATCTTACGTACATTGTTATGTTAAAAGGTTACCAGCCAAATGGACAGGCCCCAATATCTAGTACAGACAAGCGAATGACTGACCATGCACGATTTACGCCAACCAGAAGGTTGAGAACAGATGAAATTCCTCAAATTGTCAATGATTTCCGGGTAGCAGCCAGAAATGCTATGGAAGCTGGTAATTCTACTGACTATAAAATTTCTGGGAAAAAAATACCAACCATAAAATGTTTTGAGAAGTCAGATTATTTCCACCGTAATTGATATAAGTAATGTGTTACTAATAAGAGTTGGGTTAAGTCAGAAAATATCAAACACTCTTTAAGCAAGGTATTGGGAGTTTTGTGGATAAAAAATGACACGTTGGGAGAGCTTTCTCCAGTATGAGGTCCAACCTAACTTAAATTTGGATAAGTCAATAGTACTATTTGGATACAAGATTATTTGTGACCACCTTAGGATAACATATAAATGATGCCTACAAGGCGGGGTACTTCACAAATCAGCTGGCTATTTGAGGATTTTTCACAATCTGATTTTTACAAACTATATTATTTCTTGTTTTAATACATTGATTGTAGTTATGAACAACAAGCTTAATACAATTTTGGTTCTTCCCGTTTGACTGAAGGTTCAATTTAGTCCTTCTAATTGCAAACTAGCTACGTTGCTCCTATTTTGTGAAATGATCACATGTTGCCACTTTGTCACATCTTTATCCAAGATTTAACTTCAAATTTACTTTGCTATCTTAGGCACAAAAATTGAGTGTAATTTTAATGTCATATGATAAATAAGTAACATCTAAATCAGCACAATGCTGAGTTTGACATCTATTTTCTGGTAACAATGTAACAAAAGGATACTTGTTTTTTTTTCCCACTTTAAAATAGGGCAGCCTTGCTGCTTTCAAACTAAGAACCAATTTCACTTTAAAATGCAACATGAATGTTGCTTGACAATATAACTTGATGGAAGTTTAATATGATCATAGATGTTTAATTGTAGGATTTGATGGTGTTGAGATCCATGGTGCCTATGGTTACCTTCTTGACCAATTTATGAAAGATCAAGTCAATGACCGAACAGATGAATATGGTGGGTCACTAGAGAACCGTTGCCGGGTTCCTTTAGAAGTTGTTAAAGCAGTTGCTGATGAGATAGGACCAGAGCGAGTGGGAATTAGACTGTCACCTTTTACAGATTCTGAGGAATGTGTGGACTCCAATCCGAAAGAACTTGCCTTATATATGGCAACTTCACTAAACAAATATGGCATTCTATACTTGTACATCGTAGACCCAAAACGGAAGACGGATAAAGAAAAAGCTGAATGCCCTGATGGTCTTGTGCGCATAAGAAAGGCCTTTAATGGCACTTCCATTACTGCTGGAGGATATAAACGTGAAGATGGCAACAGGGCAATTGCCGAGAACAGAGCAGATCTTGTGGCATATGGCCGATGGTTTTTGGCAAATCCAGATTTGCCAAAGAGATTTGAGATTGACGCTCCTCTCAATAAGTATCACAAAGAGACGTTTTACACTTCTGATCCAGTTATTGGTTACACTGATTACCCATTTCTTGAAGATAGTTCTTAATATATTGGTTATATTTAAACAGCTTGACCACAGTTAGACCATTAATACTTGAATAAATGTCTTAACCAGTTTGATCGATTTGGTTTCTAATACTTTGATAGCCACACATTGTCTACTTCATTCGGGTTATTATGTTATTAGTTGGACAGCTATGATACTTCTAACTGAATTTACCTCTCCCCAAGAAGACGAGTTACTTCCACTTCCAATTGAACTTGTCTTTAGCCAACATACCCATGCCAATTCCAATTCGGGTAAGATTTCACATGGCCTGCGCTTGTTTCATGAAAAAGGGATTCAAGAAAAGGGAAAATGTAAGAATAGGTTTCATTATGATATTTGGTTTTATTGAAGTGGGAGTTAATCATGTATTTATGAATAAGTGTTATTTTATTCCCGTTCTCATTTTGTACTAAATCAGTGCATAGTTTTGCATTTAGGATACAATACTGTCTGTCCTCTGGGAAAAACGCATTTACAATCTCATGGTAGGGGCCTTCAAAACTCTTTTTATTGCTTCCAGAGATGCCTCTATTTCAGAATTCACCATGCTATTTCAGACCTCGCAAGCTTCACCCTGATTTCTATTAGCATGCTTCGTCTTTAAACTACTGATAAACCATTAATCCCATGGTTCGAAAGAAATTTTCTATTCTTCCTCCAGATCCCTTTCTTCCATGGGTATTCTCTTGATACGATAGTCTATATCTTGATTCCCATGACTAAATATTAGAAGTTCCAGAACTAAGTAAATATCACTGATAAACTAGTACAGCCCATTATAAGTTGAGATACAAACACTGTTGGAAGTTTCTCTTCAACTACCAGCCGTAGAAAAACTGCAACACTTGTGGTTTCCTTGCCATCTATTTCTTCTTCATCTCCCCATTCTTCACGCTTTTGCCATTTCATTCCATAGGATGACTTGAGACAGTGAATGCCCCATCAGAGCAAAAATTCCAGCTTTATTGTGCTTTGCCACTATCTTCTAGCGGTTTCACACTTGCAAGCAAATTTTGGAATTCTTCCCACTTTTATTTAGTCCAAGCTAACAAGTGTATTAGCAGTCTAGATATCTCCAATCTCCAAAACACATAACATGTAGTCGGGATAGCAGCTAGAACTGACTTTGCGAAGATGATTCTGCCTTGAGTGATTTTGGCATTGTCCCATTTTGTCATAGACAATGTGAAAACGACCTTAAGGAGGAAAAAGGGGGAATAAAGAGTCTTGTTGGGATTCTCCGATTGATATTATGTGAGCATTATATACGAAGGTTGGGTTTTTGAAATTTGAATGGGTTGCATTGAAGTGCTGCTGGGAATGGACAGCTTAGCAAGAAGCGTATTAGATTTTTTTTAAAAAAAAAAAGCCCATGAAAAAATTGTTAGGAAATAATATTTTGAATATGGAGTTCTTTTTGCTACCAGCTTGCTGGGGAGAATGACTGATAATATATTGATCGTGAATACTGGTGCCAAAATTTTCCCCTTGAGAAACTGCAATTCCATGTTGCATTTCTTATGATGGTATTCTTTTAATTAATCTTCTGGTCTTTTTGCCCTTTTTTTTTTCACCTCGAAGAGGATGCAAGTTGAAATTGAATTTATTAGACCCACAGAATGGGAAAAATCTGACGGACCTTGAGATCCCACATTGGTTATAGAAAACCAATACAAATACTATATAAGTGCAGGAACAAGGTGTTGTAGGCACGACCTTACTTGAACAGGATCTGTTCTATAGGCTCGTACCTCTGTGTCCTTGAGTATCAAGGAGACAAGATCCGCAGCTTGGTTGATGATTTATGACCAGGTGATCAGAGCGTGATTATTGGCTGGGTCGTCCATCTTCATGGCTCAACTTAGCCGCAGAGGATCGTTCCCAGGCAGTTCTACTGTGTGGGATGGTCATTTGGTTGTCTGACAAGCTCCCAAAATTTTTTTCCGTTCAATCCTTAATCCCGCGTAACTTCAGTTGCAATATTTTCCTGGGAAGGATATTTATTGAACATTTCCTGGAACCATGCAGGGATAAAAATTATTTCGGTTTAGGGTTTAGGAATTTTCCCAAACATCTAGTCTCGTATCCATCGTGCGTTACAAACCAGCGGCATCATATATTTTATTGCATATCGATCTCCTGTTTCCTACTCGCTACCGATCTTAGGAAATCTCGATCACGAGCGATTTCAGACTGATCTTGGATTTGGAATCGATGCTTCCTGGTTCTGTGTCTCGATAGCTACCTCCAACTTCCCTGGAAGAACTTAAAAGATGGATGATCGGAAGAGGAAAGGCTACGCATGGGCAATATCAGCGGGATTTTGTGCTGCTATGGCGGCCATTTCTGCAAAGCTCTCCGTTTTGCAGGTTTATTATTATTATTATTATTATCCATTGTTATGTTTATTAATTTGCCAAAGCAATGTATTGCCATTTTCTAATAAAACAGCTGCCCTCTTAGGGATGTCTGGATTGAGGGGAATTTGAGAAAGGATAACGAGGTGAAACATTAAGTTTTGCATTTTCTCATGTTTACTTTCAGAGTAAGCAAAACAAGATGGAATCTACATTATGATAAATTAGAAAGAATCGTATCGGTCGGATATCTACTGTATACAGTTGATATTCGGTATGCTCTGCAACTGCAAAGTTTCAGGTCCAGGCTTGTGAAAGACACACAAAGACAAGACACGGACACCCACAGAAATACATGCACATACATGAGAAATCTGCATTTAGTTAGTTTTATGTAACTGTAATTGCTTGAATTTTGGCATATGTATGTGTTCTCTCTTTGCTTCCTAGTGATTTCAATATATCTGTGATGTTTTCGTCATAGCCTTTTTGCATTTTTCCCCTCTCCTACTTTGTAATTGTGATATATAATAACCGTATTCTGATCAGTTTCTTAGGTATGGGCTGGTTGTAGCATTCAATGTGGTGATGTGGGCTTGTTATGTCAACAGTCTCAAGGCTCTTTCATCCCTGCAAGCAACCGTGACAAACTTTGCTACCAATTTCATCTCTTCTGGTTTAGCTGGATTCTTCTTGTTTCAGGAACCAGTATCCTGTAAGGTATATTCTCTTTGATCATGTTCCGAATACTGGAAAATTTTAGATGCATCTTTTCTCCTTTTTATTAGATAACAATAAACTATGCTCTACTAAAAGCGGATCTAGCTGTGTTTTTTTGATAAAGTGTTATGCCCTTTGGCCTGCATTTGTGTGTGTGTAACACTGGCCTTGATTTTAGCAATCTTGGAGCTAACAACGTCAATATTCTTCATTCACAGGATTTTATTTTCATTAACTTCGCCTCCTTACTTTTTATGGCAAAGGTCTTGATTTAGTTATTAGCTCCGCAATCTTTTGTGATGCAGAGACTCGGATTTTTGCAAGCTATTAATCACTTTTTTACCCTAATCATCAACATAGGGATTTTACTCTAACCTCGAGAGGCTTTTTTTTTTTAAATTTTTTTTTAACGTGATTTGAAGAGGTAGTTTTGCTGGTTTACGCAGCAACTTCATGTGGCTTTTACCTTCTTTATGTGGATGGCTCTATCTTTGCCAAATTGTGTTGAACAACGGATGTAAACCCATAGGCTTTGATACGATGATGAATTTCTGACCATTTGAACTTTTGAATTCAGATTTTGTTGAATGGAAAGGAATTATGTGCACAGGGCAGGAAAGAAGGAAAAAAAACTCCAATCTAATCTTTGCAAAATCAGCCAACAATGTAGCAATAGTAATGGATTCATAATGATTATATCTGACTTGACAAAATAATAAAACGAACAAACGGTTAACTGACAAAAAATATCTGCTTTTTGTTCTGCTTATGTTTCTTCCGGTGTTATTTCTGAATTTAATGTGGATTTTGGAGGGAGAAATCATGCCTTTTCATTTTATGTATTCAAGGTTCTTGATTTATGCATAGCTGATGCAAAATACTGGTTGGCAGTGGGTTGCAGGGGCCTTGCTTATTGTGATTGGTGTAGTCATACTAAGCAAGTCGGAGAAGGTCCAAGCTGACTAGATTTTATCATTCTGCGCAATTCTTCCTCCCTTGACATTATCTGACAAGATGTATAATATTTCATTGGAAGTCAATGCCATAAAACAATACGAAATGCGAGGACAAGTTGGTTTATATGTTCTGCAAGATAGGCTGCCCCTCAGAATCAGATTGCTTGGATTCCAGATGAAGATGCTGCATTCTTAGCCTTGAACAAACCTTGAGACTAGATTGATTCACATTGTCTGTGAAGGTCAAGGTGATTGGAGAAGCCTGCAGATTATTTATAGAGAATGCAGCATATTGTAAAATTAGAGGGCGGAAAAAGTATTTCAAAAGCCCCAGCACGTTTAACCTCTTTATATTTGGATCACTTTCACTTTTAATTCCCAAAATTAACTCATTTGTTGATCAAGTCTAAAATGTTTGGTTTACCTTCCCTGCACTTACTAACTGTTCCCAATCATTACTTTTCTCTCCTGCTTATATGAAGAGTGACTTTCAGCCACTTATTAAAACAGATAAAAAGCACCATAAGCTCCTCTTCTGCCTGCTGGGTTTTCTTTAGAATTTCATCAGTTGATTCTTGCTACCCATAGAATTTTTCATAGGAAGAGTTTGTTGAGTCCTGAGGTGTATGAATCTCCTCATAGAGATGAAGTATCCTTTAGGATAGTGAACTTTTTGACGTGTATCACAGATGCCAATTTAGTGCAATGAGAAGTGAAGAAAACTGGCTGCACACCTGATTTTGGTTTTACAATGCTTGATAGGCAATTTGATCAATCTTTTCATGGGATCTATTGGATGATATGGATGTGTTTTGTTGCAATTGAAGCCATCATTCAGTAAAAAGTCATCAAGAGGAAGACCTAACCTTATTATCTAGCAGACCAGATCCGAAAATGCAAGCAAGGAAAGATCTGAGATAATTGGATTTTGGGGAAGATCACTTTTTGCGAGCCAATCTTATGTTTATTTCCCGTGTATACAACAACCACAAGTTTTATTCTGCTAGATGGGGCTAGTTATATAGATCACGCAATGCCAATTTATTACCCATGTACAAAAACATAAGTTGGAACAAAATCTTATCAATTCAATTTTAAAAAAGAAATCCTATCAATTCTATTAGAGAGAAAACAATCACAGCATCAAATGGTAGGTAATATAGTTAACTACTTGAAGAACTCCATAACCCAGAAATTACGAACAAAACACTTGAATTGAACATCCTTAAATCCAGCAGCTTTTGCAAGGTTGAGGAAGCCTTGATGGCTTCGAAGTCTTCCATGAGCAGCACCTTGAGCCATCATGAAGACATCAATTTGGAAGTTGCACTTTGCTGAAGCGGAGGTCTCAGGCATATCAGATATGAGTGACTCCATTGCAATCACCTTCCCATCTTCTGGAATGGACTGGTGGCAATTCTTCAATAGCTTCAAGCACTTTTTGTCATTCCAGTCATGAAGAATCCACTGCAATATTATGTGTACACCCTTATTATTATTTTTAAGAAAATTAATATAGAAAGAATAGAAGAGCGAAAAGCTACTTGCTCTTTCGCGAGATTGAAGACTTTGCGCTTTGCTTTTTTATCATGCCAGAGGAGAGTAAGTTTTCAATTTCATGCAAATACCTAATTAACTGATAACACGTACAATATAATTCTCGTTTTTAAGTTAAAAAATTAAATATTCAAAGGAAGCTATATTATTCGTGTGAGTCATTTTTTAGGGAGGAAGTGAGGGTGGAGGTGAGTTTCATCATTCTTTTGGAATTGGACTTTATAAAGAAGTGAAATCAACTGTACCAAACAGTTCATTTGTTCAATTCCGTTTTTACTGTCACTTCTCTAATTCCGATTCCATGCTAGCCAAGGAGACACAAATTTCTTAACTATTTTCTCTTTTGCTAAATCTTGCTGTTGAAAACAATCATATTCGAGATACTGTTAGGTATTAAATTTGGATACGTCTCCTAGAAAGACCTTAAACCTTGGCTTTTTATGTTGTAAGGGACTGATCTTTATATTAGAATCAACTCCCATTGTAGTTTCTTAACTATTTTAAACTAACTTTATGTGTGACTTTATCCATTATGTATTATACCGAGTTTGAGATTTATTGTACTATCTTGACTTATAAATAATGTAACTTATAAATTTTTGTAATATACTAAACATTGACCAGTCTGATAAGTAAATATTTCTTAACTTGAAAAAAAAATATTTAGTTGGATTAAGAATTATCCCATTATAAACAAATAAATATAACATTTTAAAATGTCAAAAGTTGTTAATCGATGAAGATAATAGTAAACATTAGCTCATTTGTAAGAATAAGCTTTGCCAAAGATCAAGTGTGATGAGATGTATTATGAAGTGCTGCTGCCTATTGGGAAAAGTAGAATAAGTTTGTTACCTTCATGAAAATGGCATCCCCCTTAGGTATAGCCTCAAACATATCTCCTGCCACGTGTTGAACACCTATAACAATATTTGCAAATTATAATAAATTTTTTATAAGCATAGTCTAGTATCAAGTATCCAAATAAATTAGTTCATCACTAGGCCGAGTACTTTTCATTAATTTAGTTAGTCTTAGAAATTCGTCCTTCACAATTTACTTGGTCTTGAGTATAAGATAATTTTAAAATAGATGTTTTGATCAAAACTATAAGAAACAAAAGCTCATGTCTAATATATTGGGTACATTATTCCAATTACTGCCTTCAAAAGTCAGGAATAGTAATTAAAAATAATTAAATATAACTAACAAATTGTTTGTTAAGATAACAAGCGGTTTTAGGCTCCCATCCCTACTGAGAATAGCCTCAAGTCTAAAATGACTTGATGATACATTGAGTTACACCAAAAATTAAATATATATTTTTTATTTTTAAAATATACACAGCTTTTTTTATTGAAAAAAAACTGATGAAAGATATATACAGTTTTAGCAAACTTTTAAAGGACCGTTTCTGTGTTTTATTTTAGCTAAGGTGAACATTTGCTTTTAAAAAAAAGATCTAAGTATTTATAAAGAATGTAGTACTAATCTGTATGATTCACTTTTTTATTTTGTAGGAAGTTCATATAATAATTTTCTTAAAAAAATAGGAGGGATCCCTACATAATTTCAACAGATAGAAGAGGTCCAAATGATTTGTATGATTAGTGCATTAACCCTTACATCTTCTCATAATCAACACAAATTCTTAAAAATAAACAAAAACAAAAAGTCAAAGAGTGGCTATTGGCATGCGATGAGGATGAAGTAAACAAGGTAGCTCGGGTGCACAAAGAGGTACAATGGATATTTAAAATAATCCAAAATTATTAAGAACAGCTTCTTCCAAGTCCAATCCATCTCAGATTGGGATGAGTCAGCCATACTAGATAATTTTGTGAGCCCTAAATATAACAATTAATAGAAGGATTTATTTTGATGTTAAGTGCAAGACTTCAACCCACCTTACTTCTAAATTTATACTCCTCCGATCCTTAATATAAGGCTCATTTAACTAATTTGATTAGATTAAGGAAGTTAGGTAAGTTAGTTAATCATAAGAAATATGACATGTTTTTCCTAAAACACCATAATCATCTTTCTTAATACCCCATCTCTCTCTTCTATTTGATTATGGTTGAAGGAATATCTACAGGGATAATTTAGAGGAAATTAATAAATATGAGAAATGAGTCTTATATTTAGGATCAAAACCAACTCAACAATTGAGTCCCATATTAAGGACCGGAGGAGTAACTTTTTTTTTTGAAATCTCTTTATTGATAATACATATTAAGAAGGTTTTCCAATAATGAAGTAGTATTCAATGTGAATGTTTGAAATGAATACTTTAGAAAATCAATACACATTTTCTATAAATAATATATTCAACTGATTTTCTTCATCTATACAAATTAGCTATCCAATGTTTATATTTAAGACATGAGGGGATATCAAACTATTTGTACTATCTGTGCTCTTTAATATAAGACTTAGTTAACTAATTTAAGTAAATTAAAGAAGTTAACTAGATTAGTCTATTATAACAAATATGACATGATCTGTTTATAATACTTCTATATAACATTCCATTACAAATTAGATCATAAGTTAAATAAATTAATTTGGTTTAAAGTTTTATATTTAGAATCAAATTAACCTCTCAACGGTTGGTTTTTATATTAATAATAAGTAGTAGTAATGGAAAAAAAGAGATTATATACCTGGATAGGGAGGGGCATGATTGATAACATGAGGCAAGTCAAAATTGATAGCCATGAGATGAGGGTATTTGGAAGTGACCAAGCTGAGGGTGAGTCCAAGGCCACCTCCAACATCCACGAGAGAATTCAGCTGCTCAAACCCTTTGTAACATTCTAGAACCTTCTTCATCACTAAGCATGTATGATGAACCGATGCTGTGTTGAATATTTGATTCAACTCTGAGTTCAAACCAATGTACTCGAACTTTGTTCTGCCTCCATGTCCCCTTTCAAAAGCCGTCCCTCCGTCTACAATGGCGTCTTTCAAATGAAACCTAGACAGAAGTAAAATTAATAAGCAATTAAGATAAGGGTTAGATAATTAATTTATAAAAATAAAAAAATTAATTTAATTCGTTAGAAAAATGTGTTGATTTTCTTAAAATATCAGTGTTAGTAATTATTTACGTTGGGAAGATTTGCTATGAAGCTATAAAAACATAATTACTCAAAAATCCTATTGACATATAAAAATAAAAGTCAAAGAGACAATAACAAGTTTCCGTGTATAACAAGTTTCAGTGTATGAAATGACAAATATTCGTTTGTCATTAGAATTTACTGATAATTATTGTAATTGGATATTGCATCCTCAAGAGCCTAAATCACTAAAATGATTGTTTGTGTCACCAGCTTTCCAAATAGGTCTTATGCTGAACCATAGCCAGAAGAGGTCCAAGCGACATTGCATGATCATCATCAGCAACGAAGAACTTGGAAGCAGGAGCGAGGCTGTACAGCCTCACTCTGTGGCCGCGCGTACCCAATCCAATCCCCTCTTCTTCCTCTTCCTCTTCAGAGCAACGAAGCAGAGAGTGAGTCGCGAGGAGGCCGAGAAGCCGATCCAGCATTTTAGGTGCGTCTGGGTTGGTGCAGACCATCGGAAGCTGATGCGCAATGTCGTTTGCAGAGAGCTTGGCGCCTGCTCCAGCTTTCGCCATGACCCCGAAAACGCCGAGTTCTATTGTCGTTTGCAACGCCATCGGCAGAACACTGGACATGGCCACCTGCATGGCGTAACTGAAGCTATTTTCTTCGTCTGATTCGTCGTCGTTTAGTTTGGATGATCCGTTAGATTTCAATGTGAGGTCTGCGGCCATTTTTGGATTGGAGCTCACTTGGGAGATTTTCATACATACATATAAATAAATAGGGAAAACCATATTGAAGGTACCTATACTTTCTTTCAATTTTTAATTTGGTACCTATGTGTTTTTTTTCTCTTTAATTAAACATTTAATTTTATCTTTTTAGCAACATTAACTCTTATAACTTTGTTCTATTGATATTTTTAGTCTCTACATAAGGATTAATGATGTTAATAGAGGAAAAATAAAGATTTAGTTAAGAACAAAAAACACATAGGTACCAAATTGAAAATTAAAAAAAAGTATAGGTACCTCCAATATGGTTTTCCCTAAATAAATATACACACATAAATACACGCGGCCTGCGCTAATATATCTTTCTTTGTTTCCTTATTTTATTACCAGAAGTGATCAAAGATATTGTGATAAGGCGGGCGACCGGTATACTATTAGGCGACAAGGCTATTAAGACAAATTTATCTTACTATTTCTGCAGTTTAATATAAGACTTAATTGACTAATTTAGAAAGATAAAAAAAATTAATTAAATTAATTATTTGTAATAAATAGTTATTATTTTTTCTGAAATATCTTTGCTAATTATGTGCATTAGTTATGATTAACATTTGATAAAAACTTTAATATGTGCAACTACTTTTTAAAAAAATAGATAAATATGAAAGATAAAATAAATTGCAGTCTTATATTTAGAATCAAATTAAAAATCAAACTAACTTTTATATTAAGAACCAAATACAGTATTTAATTAGCATGTAACCTAGACTACTTTGGATTGGGTGTGGACTCTTTTAAGTGAGACATCTAACAGTGAGGTTTAACGCCTTGTATTAGTGGGATTCAAACTCACGACTTTTCTCACAATTTGATTCAAGTACTCAGCAGTTCACTCAAGGACGATTTTCATTCTCACATTGAAGGACATTATTTCATGCTGGGCAAAAAACGTTTAACGTAATTTTTTATTCACACAAACTTAAAATTGAGACATGATTAAGATGACAAATACATATACGCATACACATCTACGTATATAGGATTGGAAACTATATTTTTGGCACTTATCTTTAATTTTTTTTAGTACTAAAAAATATTAAAAATGTGCTGAAAAGATGAAGATTGAGTATTGGAGTAGCGAGTCAGTGCTCTTAACTGCAGTTAGTTGCCCTTTCAGCTTTACTTTTACGTGCAACACATGCATTTTAAACGTTTCTAAAAGCCAAATGATAATTGACTTATATTAAGTAGTGATGTGATTTGTTAATATATTGAATTCAATGTACCGTAATATATATATTACCCCCGATTCTAATTATAAAACCTTATTTATAATCTACAAACAGGGTCTTTTAATCAAGCCCGAAGGTATTATCTAATATTTTAAACACATTAATTAAGATGAAAATGATATAGAGAAGCATTCATGTCTAAACAACTATAGGGAAAATTGGAGAAAAGTTGCCATTTGATTAATTTTTTAAGTCAGAAGGACCCAATACATGTCTGAAAAATTTGATTTCTTTGTCCTCTGACATGACATTTAAATTGTCTGTTTTATATACTTAATAAGTTCTAGTTTTGAGTCCCTATATTTTGTGAGTTTTAGTTTTGATCCATATATACTTCGATGTACACAAAGTTGCCGTCATTGAACTCAGATTCAGATATTTTACAAGACTAACATTGTGAATGACATAAAATAAAGGGGAAAAAATAATTAAAATGATAGAAATTAAAACCAAAACTCTTAAAAATATAGGGGTCCAAAAGTAGGCCCAACCCTTCTTTTCAAACTTCACATCCACTTCAATGAGTTTTCTGTTTTCGGTTAAGATAATGCAACATTTAAGTCTCTGTTACTCAAATGCCAAATATATAAACTGCATCTAACCTAATTTCTACAATTGTACTACATTTTTCTTCAAATAATTATTTTCCTGTTGATAAAAAATATTCAAGTTTGAAAGAAAAATTCAGGTTTATAAATATTCCAGCCGCTATTATATGCCTCCAGCCCCTCCACCAGGAGTCAGTTTTATACATGACAATACATCATGCAAGGCTCAATATTTCCACCAACAACTCTAACAATTGATATGACTTCGGAGGAATTACAAAATTCCAACAAACTGCAATGTTAGCACATTCACAGCAACATGTGAGTAATAGAGGCTAACTGAAATTTTGAACCCCTTTGGTTTGCAGTTTACAAGCTTTACAAGCCCTACTAAGCTGCCGCTATATCAATGATCATCTTCCAAGGAAAAATATCTCCATTGATGATTTAACATGGTTGCTTATAGATACAGATATATTTTTACAAGAGACAACGTGATTCAACATCACTAGGCCAAGTAATTCTTCGAAGCACCCCAAAATGAAGAACCAGAAAGCCCAAAATGCATTTTTTTTCTGAAGAACAATTCATCTTTAGCCTAATCAAATTCTGTGTGGGAGCTCAGCATCTTTCAAAAATCTTGTACAGCTTCTCCAAAGAAGCAACCTGGAAAAGGAACGACAATTAAAAAGGATTAAAAATTAAAAGAGATACATATAATCTTGAATAATCCCGAATCTATCCCAAACTTCATTGAGTAGCAACTTATTATTAGCTGTCAGTCAAAAACTAACAAGGCTAGATATACAGCAAATTCCAGATATGCAAGTTTGAGAGAACCCCTGTAGTCACATAAAGAATTATTCCATCCCAACTGCTTAAGCTAGCAGGTGAGGATCCAAGATTAATTTATGACATTTCTAACATGGACATTAACGAGCCCTTTTTTTTTTTTTTTTGGTTTAGACCGATGAGTTTAAGTACAGGCCTACTACACTTGGTGCAAGAGCTTAATTTGATTAGGAAACAAAGGTGCAAGTCCTAATCACTTGGGTTCTTCATCATAGAATTCTGACATTGATTATAAAGATATTTACATACGCAGAATTGAACACTTAGAAATCAAATTACCAAGATTCCGTCCAAGGTCTAAGATATAAATAATTAGGAAAATGAATAAAAAATGACAAATACCTGTAATTGTTAAGTTTCGGATGAAAAGTATTTATTTAATAAATAGTCAGTAGCTGCTAATTTTAGCAGATATAAAAGACTAGCCAGTTCGATTTGGCCCCCTCTTCCATAATTCGTTCAAGATAATAATGCAAACACTTCTATAACGTTTCATTTGGCATTTCCTTTCCTTCCTTATTTTACAAGGTCTATTATGCCTTTTTAATCATTGAAAATTTTTTTATCTCTCTTTAATAATTCGTTTTAAGCAATTGGGGGGATATTGATAACTTTTTTTCCTTACAATTTTTCTGGAAAAGAAAATCATTCCATTTACCAAACTGATTGGTATTTTTAGAGCATGTAATCTTTAGTAACTTCTTTCAGTAAAATATATGGAATGACCAAAATACATAAGCAGATAAGAAGTAAGGATTTCATCATATGTAACCATCAGACAGATGAGATTTGAATGAAGAATTACGAATTCATACAGTGATATCATCACATAAAAAAATGTTAGAAGGTTCACATTACGAATATGTATTTACCTGAACAAATGTTCCATTAGTAGCCATAGAAGCGGGAGGTTTGAAGAAGAGTCTCATAGATGGAAACAGCACATGTTGTATTGACCATTCACGCTGAGACCAGGCAAGCTCTGCCTCAGATAGCAGTTCATGATCAACATCATTCTCCGATATCTCATCATTCCCTGAACATGAAACTCACCGGGGCTAGACATCACTAACATCTTCCACGACCCCCAAAAAAAAAAAGAGATAAAATAGGAAGTCACTATAATCTAGCACAATATCTCATCCGAACTATGAAAAAAGAAATTACACTTCATATTATCTAATTATGTCATGAGTGCCTCCTAGGGGCACTCATGGTCCCACTCAGTAACCGGTTCTTCAATTTAAGAAACCAAACCATCTATACTTTTATTTGGCTCTATCACAGCCCATGGTGCATTCACTTTTCGAATCCCCCTACTTCTGCATTGCATATTAGCATAATAAATTCAAAAGGTCTGTAAGAACCAAAACAAGACAAAAGAAGACAAAAAATTATGATCCAGGTGAATTATTGAGATGTCCAAATTGCACAACCCTTCCCTTTATTAGAAAAAGATACACAAATTTCCATTGAAGCAAAAACATAAGCGACATGCATTTAAAGATAATTTTGTTTTTTTTAGATAGAAAGAACTTGAAGAAAATGTATTTCTTAAACTTCTCTTTCATTGTTATTTATTCTGCGTTTAAACTCATAAAATTAATTTGAGTTAACATAATCTTTGATCCTTTAACTTTGCACGAATTTTCTTTTTAGTCTCTTGAGTTTGAAACCATGGGTCTTTATCCCTCATGGGACAAAATTATTCTGATTTTTATTAAATTATAGGGACTAATGTTTTAAAACAAAATAAGTTTAAGGGACCAAAACTTAAGGTTTGAAACTTGAGAAACCAAAACAAAAATGATGACAAATTTGAGGGATAAAAAATTGTATTAACCCAATTAATTTATTTCGAAATTTAAGAGTAACAATTTGATACAGGTCAAATCATATTTGAATACTAATTCTATGATGTCAGTTATAGATATGAAGCTATTTTGGTCAACAATAGGTGTAACTGCAGCTTATCCTTTGTTGTAGGAGGTGTGGATGTAGCAAATCTTTTCATGGCGAGAGACCCAATTTGAGATATTTAATTTGTAGCAAATCTCTTCACGGATCCTGGTTGTATGGGAAAGTGCTGGCCTAGTGATGTATTAGTGCTGCGAAGGGGTATGGTTTGGGTTGGGAGAAGTCTAGGTAACGTTTTGGGTTTTAGAAGCCTTTCTTCTGAGGGTTGGAGTGTCATTTGATGCTTTCTGTAAACTGAGTAGGTGAGGAGAGTTCTGACCTCTCAGATGCCAGTGCAGTGCGTGTGTTCTGTTAGTGTTCCTTGTTTTTCTATGACTGTCTTTTCTGTTGACTTTGCACTGGGGGAACAAGGTTTTGGCTAGAAACAATGAGGAAATTTTGTACGACTAGTTTGACATCTTCGTCATTTAAATATCAAAACCTAAGGATTTCCTCTTCATTTACTGATTCTGCCCAACTGCATCCTGTTCTGTTTATCGCTTGTTTCAAGTTCAACAGGTTCTATCAGTATACCTTGATCTTAAGCCTTGCAATTTGGAGATTTTAGCCAAGAACTAGAATGAGAAATTATCACCAAGAGTTATGGTTCTGATAGAACCCTCTATTATAACAAGTTGATAATAAGACTAAAACCAGAAATAGACAACGAGAGTGGGAATAAAGTTGAGGTTGATAATACTATTACTTCATAACTAAATTAGATTACAGGGGAAAAGATGATTTAAGCTAAACCCATATCCCTCATACAACCTGATACTTCCTAAAGATTAAACTCCCCTCACCTCTTGGCAGAAAGGATGATCTTATAACCCAAAAAAAGTAGCCATCACCCCTACTAACACCGCCCAAACCTCTGGCTACACCTACCCTAACATGTCTATCACCATTTTAGCCTTATGGCTATAGACCTGGGGATAAATCTCTAGACCACAGGTTTTAGTCCTATATAAATCACTTCCCTTCCTATGTTGTCTACCATGGTCTTAGGAAAAGATGTCCAAATCTTTTGGGAATCACCACCCCGATCAGGTTCCCAGAATATAGTGGGAAGGTTTGTGAAGGTAGCCTATAAGCGGAAACTGCCTAGCAGCACGCATTCATAAGGCGTCCCATGTTTAACAACTTAAAAATTCTGTATCTCCTGTTTCAACTCTCAACGCAATCCACTCCTGTTTCCTGTCCCGAGGAAATGAAGTGGCAGGGGCAGCCTTAAGCAATGCAAAAGTGAACCATGACCTAGGGACAAGAAGTTCTTATCAAGTGGCTTGGTCTGCCTCAATGTCACAGTATGTTGAAGGATTAGGAAGTAATTAAAATGCATTGCCGACTTTTAGCATGAGGACAAGCAGAGACTCCATGGGGTAAGAAATAATGAACCCAGAATCAAAAAGGTATATATGAGAAGCATAAGGAAAGATACTAAATTGGGTAACGTGTATGCGTGAAAACAAAAGGGCTGTCCATAATGAGAATTAACGGTGAGGTGGCTAAAACACAAAGGATTATAAGGGGAAACAAGCTAGAAACAACAAACTATCTCGTAGTGCATGTGGGTGAGTAAGAGAGCAGCTGTTTGTGATTTTATGATCGAAGGAGGCAGCTGAGAGGGATTCATATAATTTTCTTGGAAAGGAGTGGGAGAACCTGGCCATAAAAACCAGGAGTGCTATTTTCTTCTCTTATTTTCTTTGTTTCTACTTTCTGCCTCTTAATAACACAATTCAGCCAACTACTCCTTATTTCTGAGGAGATAGAAGTTGTATTCCCTATATATAATATATATATATATATATAAACAATACCATAGCTAAGCACCATAAAGAAAGAACTCTCTTTCTCTCTCTTCTACCTTAAATGAAAAGACATTTGTCAAGCTTACGCAAAGACCAAGTTTAACATTTTTAAACCCCTAACTTATTGACGTCTGCTGCCCAAATCTATTGTTAACAGTCATACAGCACCAAAAATGAAAATAAAAGGAAAACTGTAAAAGAATGGTGGTTTAGAAGTTCAACAAAACTAAGAAACCAAAACAATTGCAGCGATCATCAAAGACATGGATAACAAAAATCCAAACAAAGCAAACAAAAATTAGCCTTAATTCCCACATTGATAATGCTAATTAAAAAACCAAAATAAATACAAATAAAAAAGCATCCATGTCAACTAGCTTCAGGAATTTAAAATCAATCTCCAAATTCAAAATATTTTGAACCCAAATTGTAGCCATACAATCCATACCAGTAGTGTTGCAAGGATTTTGCTCAGCACAACCTAATTTTCTCTTCTTGTAAAACCGCAATCCCTCACCAGAAGGGTTGGGCAACAGGGGCGGATGCATTGCATAGAAATCTCCAAGAGTTGCTGCAATTGTTTGAAACATCTTCTTTTCATCATTCCAGTCAACCTGCTTATCAAGAAAAGGAAATTACATTCTACAATCTTTCAAAAAAAAAAAAAAAAAAGGAAGCATAAGAAAAAGGAAAAACATCAAGCATTCATGATTATTTCACAGCTGACGTGCACATGGTTGCAAGTTATGGCCCAGCCCATAAAGTTTGGGCGAACATCAGCTTGGGTTCCATCCTTCCAATGTCCTCCCAAAGATGGTTCACACAAGATCTGATAAGTACACATTACTTCCCTCTTCCCCAACTAGGTCCTCCAACTCCATCATTTAAAAACAATAGGGGAAGAGGGAGGAAGAGAAACAGGAAAGAGATGTTTCTTTGTCAGTAAATCTTAATGAAAATGAACAGAACTAAACCAATGTATTGCATAGATGTAATATCCTAAGTGAGTTTCATCTTTAGTGTATTAACTAAGGCGTAACAATATAGCTGACAATGTAATGACGGGTCTATGAAACAGACAGTTCAAGGTTGCATTACAAAATCCATGTCAGCATCATGCTCTGAACTGGTAATAAGTGTCCATGTTACTTAATTAATGATGAGCTAGACATGCAAATGAGAAATAGAAATCAAAGCTTAGAAGGCAAAAACAGATCAGAAGGGCAAGAGAAGCATAAAACAATACTAACATCATTTCCCAAAGAAAGCACAAATTCAGGGAGGCGATCCATATCAGGAGTATACTGATCAAGTATCACAGGAAGTCTAGATAAATTTCCATGTTGGTCAATATGAATGCAGAAATGAAACTCCAGCACGTCAGCCTTCTGTTTAAGTAGATTTGTGTTCATCTGGAAAAAAGTGTAAAAGAAATGCGGCTCAAAATTGTAAGAAATAAAGACTATAAAGACAGCAGTTTACGAGATATCTATGTATAGATAATTACAGTATTCTCACACAATGGTGGACAAAATAAGATTACATGAACTAAACAACTGCTCAAAATCAAATATAACCAGATGAATTCAAGGACAACGTACAGTGAAGTGCGCAAGCAAAGTTGCATCTTAAAAGCCACACATACTCACGAGACAAGAGTCAATACCACAAGAACTAAAGGCAACAGGCGGCCACTTCTTAAGGAATTTGGTAAAACATATTTATCAGGTCATATATATTATCAATTAGTTAACAATTTATTCAAAGATTTAGTTATTTATAGAGTACAATAGTACTATACAATCCATGTAGCTGACCCCATTATGCCACCCAGTGGGGTAAGGCTCATTATTGTTGTTGTTGTATATGAATCAGTTCATATACGTTATAAAGGTTAAACTTGTAGAAAGCAAGAGCACTTGAGTATTCAACTATTCATAACAATTAAAGAAGCATAACAATAATGATGGTTTTAGTTCAAGATGCCTTAAGTTGGAAAACTGAAAATAATAATAATAATAATAAGAAGAAGAAGAAGAAGAAGAAGATTGAATCTCAAGCTTATAGAACAGCTTCGGGATTACAACAACATTTAAACAAATTATTTGACAAAAGTAGATATGTCATCACTCGTTTCTTGAGAAAGACTTCAAAAGAGGAAATCTTAAATCTGCAAAATTACTTCGTTTAGAATATTGGTCAATATATGGAGTCCATGGACCAGATGGACACATCAATCCATGGTGAAACTAGGAAGAAATAAATGAAAGGCTGGAAGCAGAGCACAACTTATTCCTCATTGACCATTGCCATTTGTTTGGATTGATTAGGAGATTCGTCTCCTTTCCTCATATATCTATGCATTTCTTCTCCAGTAAAATTTAGATCAAAATATTATTCTCAACTCTGAAATGCTACAGACCTAGTCATCTGTTTTTCTTCAAAATGTGCTACAAAATTTCAAAGAAAAATGACTGTTGCAACATTGACCATATTTTACAAAGATTCTTTTTTTTTTTGCTACTCAATATTTAATTTGAATATATATATTAGTTATTTAATATGGTTCGTTGTTATGTAGTTATTGTTTCACAAATATATGGGGCTATGCTTATCTGATAAGCATCAGAGAAGATAATTCATCAATACTGAAACAATAAATAGGAATCGGATTTCCTACAACATAGCTGGAAATCCAATTATATTAAATGGTAGAGATGATGGGTAATCATCCCACAGTCAAAGACCGAGATCCTGGGCTCTAGAAAGGGAAATAACATAAACTCAGTGATATGTCTTAACAGCTAGGAAATAAGTCTTCGATTCTGACAATAAAGATTTGTGATTATAAGCCCATAAACTCCTTTGTTTCCACAGAAAACACCGTTGAATCCAGACGTCCTTTTTTTTTTTTTTTTGGGGTTTCCCATTTGTTCAAGGAGGATTTTTTTTATATCTACTTCTGCCTTTTTGTATTCTCTCTTCTCATCAATAAACTTTTTTCACTTAAAAAAAAAAAAAAACACAGAATGAAGTGGTTTTATTCTTCAATATTCGAGCATAGATAGTTTTGTGAAGATTTTAAGTTTTCAAGCTTTCAAACAAAGGGGGAGAAATGCCTTTTTTTATATTTGAATTCAACTTCTTCATATGTTGGGGGGGGGGGGGGGGGGGGGGACAGGTTCTTGCTATGCATAGCTTAGCACAGTTAAATTAAGCAAGACGACAACAACAGTCTTATCCCATTATGTGGGGCCAACTATATGGATCGTGCAATACTATTAAGCTCTATCAATAACCAAGTCTTTGGATAGATTATTAATCGAAAGATCTTTGATCAATAACTTAGTTAAATTAATCTCACACAATTAAATTAAGCAATACGCTCATAATGTCATAATGGAAGAAGCAATGCATAACATTTATAATATAACCATAATCCAAAAGCAGGGAAATTACTTCAGCAACTTTCTCTTTAAAGGCATCATTCTCTATGGATTCTGGATCAACATCCTCTTCCTTCAGAGCCAGCATAATCAAATCTTTCAAGGGAGCTGGATCACTTAGTTGAATAGCATTGAAATGTTCTAACCGACTCAGAACTTGCTGATACATAAGTTCTTTGCTGAAAGTGTAATAATACAAAACAAAAATATAAACAAAAAAATTGTAGAACATGTAACATATTTATGCGTAGGCTCTTTCACAAGCTGTAAAAAGAACCACATGAAACAGTCATGAGTTACAGGTGAAAAGAAAGCAAAAGAAACCGGGGGGGGGGGGGGACCCATATATAAATACAATATTACATCTCCATACTTCTCGAGAAAGAAGGCAAGATACTTGAGAAAACAGATAATAAAGTCTCTCAGATCCACATCTCCACTAATCTCCCAAGGAAAAAGATCAGCCTCGTCTATGCAGGACAGCATCACCAAACAAGCTGACTAGGTTTTTTTATTATATAGCTGGGAATCCCATGTTGGCAATTCCTTTCAGTTTACAAACCATACTATTTCTCTCTTGCAAGCTTTAATATAAAAGTGACAGAACATAGATGCTAGCAATCTGATGGCTGACTAAGGACAAAAGAAAAGTCCCCTAAAGACCCGTAGTGATTGTGCTTTTAAGAGGGAAACAAAATTTAACCTATGACACCAATTCCCATGGCATGACTGATTTTTAATGTTCAAAAGCTGAAAACAGTAGTGATTGTGTTTTTTCAAGAGGGAAAGAAATGAAGCATAAACAGCTTCTTAGCATAAACCAGAAACAGAAAAATATCTACCTCAGGTTTACCACATTGGCAAGATAGAGATGAGTGTTATGCTGAAGCAATGCAAAAACATCATCTGCCATTCCAATATATGTGCAGTGCCTTACAATATCAAGCAAACCTTCAAAGAATGTCTACCATATTAGTGAACCTTGTGAGAAGAAATCATCAGAGAGAGTCATGAAAAAATAGTACCAGAGTGACAACTGCTATTGATCTCGTCAAGAAGCTGCTGAACAGTGACGCAGCCTGAAGAATCATTTGGGTACCTTCTTTGTCTAACTGAGGACCTGACAACGGATACAGGTACAGAAACTCATTTATTTAAGAACAAAGCACTTCGTAAGTTTTAATCTGTTATAGAATTATCTAAAGACTTTATAATTTTAGCATTCAAATATAGCATCGATGGAACTGGTAGTTTTATTGCCCGTTAATCACAATATCAGTCATCTACAACCTCTTCAATGGGGAAATGGAAGAGGAAAATGTATAGAAATAGCTAACTAGGACTAGTTGCAGGGATTCCAATGCAAGGAAAACAGAAACAAAATTCCTGAAATGAAACTCTTCAGAACATTTGAGAGGTCAGGAGCTCTCCATAGCCACCAAGGTTCCCGTCTATCTCTCACAAGGGCACACAACTGGCAACCCTAGAATGCTAGATAACCATCTCTCCACTATTCTCTCCATTAGTGGGACCTTTTCCACGTTAGCCTCTTCTGTCATGGGCCCCTCTTACATCGTCAAAGTTGGGATTATCTTTTGCAAAAAAAAAAAAAAGGGTTCGGATTATCTTGATAAGCAGAAAAAAGAACAGGAAGCAAATAAAAATCACCTCACTGCAGTCAAGCTAGCACTCTTGTCAAGATGTCCAATTGGCTGGGTGTCCATGTAAGCATGCAATCTTCCACAAGGATTCAATGAATCTGTTCGAACCATTTTATGTACTGGAATTTTCTGTGATTTTGAACCTGTGATTAATAAACAAATATCATATGCTAAATGAAGAATGTTCAGAGACTAAAACAAAAAAAATGGAACACAAATAAGGAAAAGCAATTTTGCAATACCTAACACCAAGGGGCTGAGGTTAGCCTCCTTGCATGGTTTCACGTAACAAGAAGAGGATGGTTCAGTTGTCTGTCGCAAGATAGAATAAAATCAAATTTCATGAGTTAAGCAGCATTAACAGAGCAGAACATTATGAAACAGATAAAAAATTTCACTCATAATTTAAGAATTTGAAGAAAAAATTTAGCAACAAAAGTAATACAAGAAAATTAAACTCAAAAAGGGAAAAAAAAAGATGCAGAATCTAAGTTTTAGATCCTGGTCAAAGTTACTTCAAGACAATTTTCAAAACTTCAAGCTACAGTTCCACAATAAAAGAAATATAAACTAGCCCCAAATCATTTAGTGAAATAAAGCAGTACCAAATAGAAAGAACTGCGGTTGATCCTACATTCCAATGTGAATCTTTAACAAGCATTGGTAAAGAGAATGCTCCCCTAAATTATCAATCCTCTTGTAAATTTAAAAACATGAACAAGAATAACAAATGAATAATACTAGAAAATTTTGACATGAAATAATCTCTAACAAATTAAGCTGCCAGTCCCAGTAAACCAGCACAGGTAACCATGAGTAAAAACCCCACTTGAAACAACACTGAAAACACATCACTAGAAAATGGGAAAAAGTTATTGATATTTGCACAAATCTATTTCCACAAAGTTCAAAGAAGCAACTACCACTCATCATGTACAAAAGAAGCAGATATTACTGATATTCCAAGAAGTGTCTCAAATCTAGAGTTCTGTGCCCTGAGACATACCTCTTCTTGAAATGTTCGTGCATCATTTGAGCTTCTTAATCTTGATTCAACCAATGTTTGTATCTTCTCAAGGATAACTTCCTGATTTAAAAGGCTTACCTGTATGCCCCAAAAAAAAAATATTTTTAATAACAACGAACTCACAAATGAAATGTTGCAAATCCCACTAAATATTGAAAATACATTCCAAGAGCTACATGTAAAATGTTGCTAGCAATAAGGGAAGAACATGAAGTTACCAATTTAAAAGAAACATAAACTATTTGCATGTATGTATGTATTTGGTGTACCCCATCTCTCATATCAATGGAATATATACACCCCCCACCAAAAAAAAAAAAAAAAACACAATACAACGTGATACCAGAGCTAGGGCTAGAGATTCTAAGGGATTTATGTTCCTGCAATGTCGGATGGGGGGGGGGAAAAAAAAAGGAAAAACCCAAAGGCATTATAAATAAAAATGCTCGGATGTAGCCTTGTTAATACCTATGGATCCCCTGAAGAAAATAATGGGGGAAGATTCTTGTTAAGTTGATAAAGCGATGCATCAAAGATTAGTAGGGAAATTAATATATTTTTCCATACCCAACCTGGTACTAGCTTTGCATTGAGTGTCCCACGCTAATTCATGGAATTACCCTACTGAATAGCATGTAGAGGCAATAAATCACACTCTCGAATATTAAAAAAGGACACCAAGAATGGGTTGTTTTCCAGGAGAAGTACCAAAAGATGCATAGAGGTGTGTGCTTCTAAATGCTGATTGCATTGGGCCTCCCGCCAAGGCCAATTAGAGCTATGACTCATGGAACCTGTGAAGGTATGCAGTTAAAAGGACTTCTTAAGGATATTTTGTTGTATATTCCTTTTAGTGTTAGGGACTTTCTTGGAAACTTGTTCTTTACTTAGGCCCATAAATAGAGGCCTCACCCATGTTCATAAAATATCATGACATTTGTTCAATAAGAATAAAACTTCTCTAACTCTCTTTCCAATCAATTTTCTTTAAATAGTAATTACGGTCAGCAAGAATTATAAAGAGATACTGACATGCATATTTTAATTAGGTTTGTACTATTTACCTCTCTCTTTGTTGGATGCACATTTACATCAACATTCTCAGGAGGTACTACAATTGTCATGTATATAAACGGTTTAGAAGCTTTGGGCAATGTTGCTGAATAAACAACTTCAATTGCTCTCTTGAATGCAGAACACTCAACCAATCGATCTGAGGAACAAGAAAAATTTCATTAGAACCTATATAGTATTTTAGACAAAAGGAAGCTGAAATTTTATAAAAAAAAAAAAAAAAAAAAAACAAGAAAAAGGAAGAAGAAGATTTCCAACGCAAATGATAAGATATCCTTTTTAAGCATGGAATAATTTACGGAGGGAAAAAGCAGAGGGCTCTCAGTCCAATCTCTTGGTATATCAATCAAATACAATTCCTTGACAGTGCCATGAAGAAAGCACGTAGGAGGAAAAGCTCACTACATCAGACAGCACAATGTCATAGCATCATCTGCTGCATCCCAAAACTGTTGCTTGACAAGAAGGTTAGTCCCAAGATTAAAGGAATGCAAACAGGAAGTCTAGTAGGTTAAGCAATAAGCTGTTTCTATTAAGCCCCGAGGATAGAAAGGTTCCCCCCCCCCCTTTTTTTGGGGGGGGGGGGTTCTCAGGAATTTGGTTGCAGTGTAAAAGATATCCATGTCTCTGGTTACAGCAATAGCAAAGATAAAGGTTAAGGGGCAATAACACATCCTGTCATCAATTTTAAAAATATGTTCTGATTGATGTCCATTCCTTTTCTCCCCCACTTTCGATAAGGATAATTCTTTTTCTTTTGGCAGGCAAAATATTTCTGAAAATAGGAGTCCTACTTATAAGAAGTCTTCAGATATTTTACGGTTAGCTATAAGCCTGATCATTATCTTTTGTTGGGATTTAAGTGGTAAGGTTTGCTGCTGCCTTTCCCGTATACATTTGACTATTTTCATTCAATAATCTCAAGTTCAAATAAAACCATGAATTTCTACAGTATTAAATTTTTTATACTAAAAGCAAAAGACACAAAGGAAGCTAAATATAAAATTACATATTAATCACACGCGCCTGTGCACACAAACACATACCATTGATGAAAAGAACCATTGTGATCTTCTTGGCAGCATAATCTGCATTAGAGATAAAACCGTGCATCTCAAAAGGTGAACCAGATGGATCATCATTTGAAGCTTCAATTTCCATCAAATTGCGAGCAACTGAAACACCATAAACAGATCCAATGGCATCAAGCCTTGATGATGTAGCAACTGTGTGTACATCAGCTCTCATAGATCCATGCTGAGTGCAACAAGAGGCAAATTGTGCAAAGAAATTTAGTATCAAGAACATGATATGGGGCCAAAGAATGCAAAGAGGCAAAGAGCAGGTTTACCACTCTAGACACCAACCTTTCTGCAAGAGAAACCAACATTTATGTGATGTATGGCAAAACGACTAATCAAGTCTACAATCTTTGAATAGTCATCTGCAGAATTTTGTAATGTCTTCCTCCTTGCAGCCATATTATAGAATAAGTTCTCAACCTTGTAACAATAAGACAAGAATTTCAACTCACAGAAAAATAAGTCTAACATCATATTTAGAGTATATTTTCTGAAGACAATTTAGTTACATGGAGACTAATAAATCCAATAATCTTTAAAACTAAGCAATTAGCAAGTAAGGATAACACAAGAAATGCAGGCATTTAAACAAAGGCAAGGACATCCAAGGACCAATTTACTGAGCTTCTTCCCTTGTATGACTTCATCTGAAACTAGATTCAAATGGGAGAAGACGTACCAGGATTCATAGGCATTTTTGAAAAAAAATAAACAGAGGAAACAAGAGTGTTTTTGATAGAATAGAAGTAGAAAGAGAGAAATAGAAGAAAGATTCAGAGAAGAGAGAGTTTAGGACGAGAGACAAAGGAGAAATGATCTGAGAAAGAACAGAGAGGAAGACAGAGAGAAGGCGGGTTTAGAAAACTGAATAGTGCACTGAATAATTCTGGAAATCAAATCTGTACTATTGGGTACCCTTTCATATCTATTTATAGGCCTAGGTTGAAGTATGAAGTGCCTGACAACTAATGCCTACTAACTAATGCTCCTAACGGTTAGTAACCATTTACAATCTTTAAAATATTTGAATTTATTTACAATTACACATCAGTTTTGATCTGAATTAGCCATCAAAATTCCTCCATAAAAGTTAGTCTCGTAGGAAACCATATAGCATTCTTTATTAAGGTGATAGTATAAACTAATGCTATATATTCCAATTTATCGCTTGATTGGTGTGAGTAATGTATTAGATAATTCATCAAGCCCCTATCACACATCAAAACAATGTGCTTCATAATGAAGCTTTTTTAGTAGGATTAGACGAAATAAGACTTCGCTATATAAGTAATATAGGACAAATGGCAAGAATAAACAAAAAGGGGAAGAATAGAAGAAATAAAGAGAGTAGAGTAGAGAATCATCCACAAGGTCTCCAACAAGAATAACATCAGGGCTATTTATGAAGCTGTAAGTATAATTACTAAAATAGTATTAGCTTAACCTAAATGAAATACAATAAAACCTAACTTAAACTTCTAGCAAAAGAAAACATAAAATAGGGAACAATCCAAGAAAACCTAGAAGAAAATAAATTAAAGCCATAATAATAAATTACTAAAACATTAAATCAATCCTTTGTGATATCACTTCGTTCATCTTTCCTGATATCTAATCAATTCTTCCCCACTTAAGCTCCCCTCCGGAGAAGAAAACTTACACAACTCTAATAAGGCAAGAAGCAAGCAGGGAACTCTTTTGAAATTAGCAGAAACCCTTCCAGCAAACAAGATAATGACGGAAGGGACCATGCAAATGATGAACAAGATAACCATCCATGGCCACAATGACAAGCAACATAATAGATGGCAGAGGTGAAGAGGACTGAGGATAGGACTCCAATTGGGCATGATATAAGTAGCATCCAAATGTGGAAAACCTTTCCAATGAACAAGGTATTGAACAAGAGAAAGGGAGGAATGGGGGAAAAGTAGATGGCAAATGGCCAATCTCAATAGTCAACTCATCTAGAAAGTCTCCAGTAAGAATAACCGTAGGGCCATTTGTAGAGCCCAAAGTAGTAATTATTATTATTGTTGTTGTTGTTATTATTATAATATAATAGTAACTTAAACCTAAATAAAATAATAACTTACTTAAACTTCAAGTAAAAGAAAGGATTAAAAAGACTAATGGAAAACAAAATAAAGTCATAACAATGAACTGCTCAAACATAAAATAAATGCCTCATGATATCCTATCATTTATCCTTCCAAATATCCCATTGAAGACATGAAGGAGGGAGAACAAGAAAAAATTGATAAGGCCAAGGTCAAACATTGCGCAACCAACAACAACAAGCTTATCTCATTAGATGGAGTTGGTTCTTTAAATATAACGTTGACTAGAGATTAAGTGTTCTTTTGGCCTTCCTATACCGCTCTTCACATGACTCAAAATCATATATTCAATCCTTCTCACTAGCACCTCCTTTGGCCTTCTTTGTACATATCCAGACAATCTTAGACAATTTTCTACCAATCTCTCCTGATCCTCAATAGATATGTTATGCCAACTCTTCCTCATATATGATCATTATGAATCTCACATTTTCTTACGTAACCACACAGCCATGTCAATATCTTCATCTCTGTTCCCCTAATATCTTATGTTGACCAATTTAGTAGGATGCAATTATTTTTGAAAATACATCATAAGAGCATTCAAAAAAAATTTTTTTTTTTTTTTTTTTTTTACAAAGCACAATGTACTTTTATAGGGACATACTTTTTAGAAAAAATCAGAGGTTATATTGGATTTTCTTTCAAAAGATTGGATAATTACAAAAATTAAAAAGGCTATATTAACTTCAATAACCAGCCCAACTTGAAAACCCAACTTTAAAATGAAACTTCATGCAAAACCAAGCAAGACCCATACTCTATCTGGCCTATATTTTAATTTTGCTTTTCTTCTTTTGGAATGATAGAAGGACTTTAATTTCACTAAGCAATAACATAATAACAGAATTTGTATAGATATATTCTTTTAAAAGCATATTCTTCTCAAAATAGTTTTCATCTTATTTATTGTGATGACGTGCATCATCAAACAAACAAAAGAATTATGAATATCAAACCTTATCCTATTGGGTCTTCAAAGGGATTGGACAGCTCATTAATTGTCTTGTATAGCATACAACAAACCCAAACATAGTTAACATAAAGTTTCAGAAACAGCATAAATTGACAAGGTTACACGGTTTATATGAAAGATATTTTGTTTACATGAAGTTCCTATTGGGTCTTCAAAGGGATTGGACGGCTAATTTCAATTCAACAGTCTAGCTTGTTTTCTTTTAGTCCATTCTATTGCTAGGGGAGGGCCTCTTGTCTATTGTTTTTTTCCTTTCTGTAGTGATCACTCATATCATCAATAAATTCTTCTTTCATTTTGGGGAAAAGATGAGTTTGGTGAAAAAATTTTAATAAAAAACCTAGGTGAAAAGAGAAGGCGCAAAAAGACTCATAAATAGCAAAATATTTATGTACAACTACATACATATATATTATGTAGCTATATTAAATTGGAAATAAAACACAAAATTCTACATGTTTAATCAGACTGATCTTTGTATTCAGCATTTTTTTTTTTCTGTTCAGGGTCTTCAGTTGAATTCTGTATGTGATTCCGAGCAAAAAAGAAAACTTCGCACTACTTTAGGAAAAAGACTTCTTTGTCATTCATGCTAGCACAGCAAAAAGACTTGTTCATACCATTATCTGGGTTCCTTTTACAGCAGCGCATGCTTTTGGTTCATGCTCCATAACGCCATCTCTATATGATACCCTGAACCGAATATTCAGAACAGGTCAACAAAAAGTTGTATACTTCAGTTGGATCGGCAAAGTAGAAAAGATATTAAAATCACAACTGACTGGCTATGCTAGCAAAACTCTTAACGTCTTCAAACCACAAACCAGTGCAAAACATAATACTTTGGATTTTTCCACATTTGTCTTATTCATATAATCATATTAAACTGTTGTTCACCTGTAACCATACAACTGCCCTTTGGTGATGGTAGTGACTGTAACATGGCCAACATACGTCATGCTTGCCAAAGCCTCTCCCCTAAATCCCATTGATTTAATGGACCATAAATCCTCAAATGAAGACAACTTTGATGTTGTATGCCTCTCACACAGTATGCTCAGGTCCTCATACTACAGGAACACAATGCCAAAGTAAGCACACAAAAATATATTCAAAAGAAAGGCAGTATCTATCATTAAACCAAGAACAGCTAAGTTTTAAACAAAATATTCCTAGTTAGGCATAATAAGCGAGAAGAGATTGCTAGTTCAAAGAGCTGATTATCCCAAAATGACGTAAGAAAAGAAAAGGGGCTAAACAACCGACTCGAATTCCATGGCCATCATCGGAGACTTGAATGAGTTTGAGGCCTCCGTCCTTAATGGTGACGTTTATGGAGGAAGAGTTCGCGTCAATGCTGTTCTCGACAAGCTCCTTGACGGCGGAGACAGGGCGCTGGATGACCTCACCGGCGGCGATTCGATTGACGACAGACTGGTCGAGGCGGTGAATTTTGGGAGGCTCTTTAGGCAGCTGCAGTTCAACGTCCATTGGCAAGGGCTCATCACTGGCTCGCGATTCCATGGTTATTGGCTTGTTCAGTCCAGTTCAGTTTAGTTTCAGTTCAGTGTTCGCAGCGGGTAGAAGAAGGGCCTCGGGTGGAAACCCGCGCAAAAGAACGGTAACGTCAAACCTGGAATTAAAAAAATGAAAAAAAAAAAAATCTTTCATCCTTAATATAACATTTAATTATTAAGTTAGTTTTAATTCTAAATATAAGACTCATTTATCATATTTATTAATTTTTTTTAAATTACCCCTATAGATATTCCCTCAACCATAATCAAATAGAAGAGGAAGAGAGGTATTAAAAAAGATAACTATAGTATTTTAAGAAAAACGTGCCATATTTCTTATAATTAACTAATTTACCTAACTTTTTTAATCTAATCAAATTAGTTAAATGGGATTATATTAAAGACAAGAGGAGTATCTAAAATGAAAAAAATAGAGAACATTTTTCAAAATGCACTCAAGACAACCGTTATCATGACATGTAAAATTAGCATTACACATTGTATCGATTGACTTGATGCATAATTTCAGTTTAAATCTTCAATTTTATTATATAATTTTCAATTTTCTAACCCTATGATACTTTTAATAAAAATGACTCAAAAATACTACTCCTCTGGTCCTTAATATAAGACCTAATTGTTAAGTTAATTTTGGTTCTAAATATAAGACCTATTTCTTATATTTATCAATTTTTTTTAAATTAGCCTTATAGATACTTCCTCAACTATAATCAAGTAAGTGAAAAAAGAAGGATATTAAGAAAAATGATTATAATATTTTAGAAAAAAACAAATTATAGTTCTTATAATTAACTAACTTAACTTTCTTAATATAATCAAATTAGTTAAATAGGTGTTATATTAAGGACCGGAAGAGTATTTGAATTTCAAAGTGATAACTAGATTATGCTAACGTGTCAAAATCTTTACAATAATAATCAATATTCTTATAAAAGTAATTAGATCACTTTTTTAATATTTTAAAATTCAAGTGGTATTTTTTTAGTAAAATTAAATTTAATAAAGTAATATCAATATTTGTTAATATTTAAAATTGTAATATTAGTCTTTTTTTTTATAATGACATTAAGACTTCAGAGTAAAGGGTAAAAGACTAGAAACAATTTCCAAAATTAAAAGATAAAAATGAAATGTCATATAATAGTATAATTAAAAGACTAAAACTGTTGACAAGAAAAACTAAAATGTGGGGGAAATGATTAAAAAAACATAGAAATTATGAAATGTCAAATTAATGCACTGGAATTTAATAATTTGTGAGATCTCAAGGTGAGATTTTAAAATTTGGCCCGGGGGGACAAAAATGTCCTTGGAGAGAGGGTTTTTTTTCCGAGATGATTTTTTTTTTAAAAAAAAACAAAGGTAATGAAAGTAGGGTTTGGATTTGAGATTTTTTTTTTTTTTTGTTTTTTTGGCCAAAGATTTGGATTTGAGATTGATCCACTACTTGCATTTTAAAACTAAAGATCACCTAAGTTAGGCCCTGGAGGGAACTTCGAGCGTCATTTTTCAAGCGCGAAGGATGCCTTCATCGTCCATTTCATTTCCTGTTCTTCTACGCCGTCCTTCTTCACAGTTCACACTTCTCGTTGATGCATTTGCGTTAAGGACAAGACTGAAGCACGAAGCAAAGGTTGATTTATTCTTTTGATTTATTTGTACTTTTCCGTCCATTTAATCTCCAAGTTGCTGGGTTTCCACTTGACTTAACCTACCTTTTTTTTTCGATCTCCTCTGTGGATTCCGAACACTTTCTTCTTCTGTGATGCCATCATCAATGGATAGGACTGTAATGCCTCTGATAATGGAAGGCGACAGAGCCTTTCTTCCCGATGAAATCATAATCAACATTCTCAAAGACTTCGTAAAATCCCTAATCCGATTTCAATGTGTATGCAAACATTGGAAAAATCTTGTCAAGACACCGTCTTTCATAGCAGATCATCTTGGCCACTCCACTCATCGGAAACCTTCACTTCTTGTCCAATGGGGTGGTTACAGAGACTTTGATTTCCAATGGGGTCACTGTAGAAACTTTGATTTCCAACTGAGTGTGCTGGGTTGTGACATGCGAGAACTTGAAGTGCAGAAAGCACCTTTGATTGATTCCTTTCGGTCCGTATACGTAGTGGGGTCCAGTAATGGCTTGCTCTGTCTTCTGGCCGGAGATGATAGTAGCAGTGGATCCCTACATTCCATTTTATTGTGGAATCCAGCAACCAGAGAGGTCAGACCTATTAAGGATTTTAGAGGATTGTGCCATATAGGATTTGGGTTTAGTCCAATTGTTAATGATTACAAGGTGGTTTTAATTTATGTGCTTGACAAGAAGAGTGAACGAATAATTCGAGTGGAAGTGTTCTCATTGTCTACAAAGTCATGGAAGGAAGTAGAATTTGGAAACCTGAAGGGTATAATTATTGGCAAGCCTGAAGCTGTTAGTGCCAATGGAGCTGTGTTTTGGTTTGGGTTCAAGGAACATGGAAGTTTGGATAATTGTTTGATAGTTTCATTTGACATGGCAAATGAGGTGTTTACATTGATACCAATGCCTCCAGTAAGTTTTTTCATGAAGAAAAAGCTTACTGTGTATGAGAATAATCTTGCTATACTTTGTGAGAAATGGAACGAAGGTGATAAAGACTTTGGTCTTTGCTTTAAATTGTGGGTGATGGAGGAAAGTACAGGGGCATCAAGAGAGAGATGGAGTTGGACTAACAAATATACAAGTAGGTCATGTGGCTTCTTAAGATTGGAAGCAGTGACTATTTGGAAGAATGAAATTGTATGTAAATCTAAAGGTGAATGTGAGGCATATGAAGAATCTGAAGGTGAATATGATGAATCTGAAGATGAAGATGAAGATGTAGACGATGGAAGCGAAATTGCTCTTTACATGTTCAATCCCGCTGCTAATGAGTTTGACATGCATGTTAAGCTTAGATATGACTATGAAAATGAAATTTTCAATTATGTGGAAAGTCTTGTATCAATAGCCAATGTCAACATTGGAGAAACTTGATCCTAGATTTTAATTAGCTTAGAAATGTATGTAATGTAAGCCCTTTTTGTGGAAATGAATCCATGGTAGTCTATATTATTATGTATTTAAAGTTGGTGAAGTCCTTTGTAAAATGATTAAGTTTGGTTTTATCCAACATTATTAGGGTTGAAGTACTTTGTAGAATGATGATTTAGAGTGCATTCGATGAAGAAAACTAATTTTAGTACCGGACATCAAAAATGAAAGCAGCTTGACACAAAAAAAAAAAAAACCCAAAGTCCCCAACCTTTTCTTTTTCTTTTTTTTTGTCAGAAGTCCCCGACCTTAAATGCAAGAATTAGATAACTAGATGAGGGTTTATTTTAGTTTTAAATACAAGATCTCAATTTACTTTGCCTTTAGTATTTATAATGTTTTACCAAAAGTATACTTATCATAGTTTACAGATTACACATGCTAATGAAGCTTATTTAAGGGTTAATTTTAATACACGTGACTAAATATGCCAATTTAGAGAAATTAAGACATATTTATTATAAATAAGTAGTTATTAATTTTTTTTAATCTTTGGAAATTATTTATCTGGCTTTTATTTTAAAAACACTAGATAATAATTGATTTTGTTATCTGAACTGTAATATTACTATTCTAGGGTAAGTTAAAGGAATTTTACTTATAGGGTTTCTAACCTTATGTATTTTAGGAAGTTAATTAAAAAAATGAAGCTATTTTAGCTTAATTAAGTTAATTAATTAAACCAACTTTCTTCCAAAGTCTTTTGGAAGTTTAATTAACTTCTTCGTTTTAAAATTCCAACAACATTTTTTTATCCGCGGACAATTTCATAAAAACAAGTAAAATGACTATAACTTAAAAAGCAAGCCCATTATAATGAGTTGATTTAAGCAAAATCCAAATGAACTAAAATAATAGGTCGGCCTTAAAATGAAAAACCGGAAAGAAACACAATTACGAAATTACGAAACAAAAAATGTTGGAAGAAAATGGACATATATGCAACTAAAAATTCAAAAAATATGCTTTGTACAGACTTTACATTAAATGAATTTCTTTGTTTCTATTCAAAAAAAAATTCAAAAAATATATCAGCAGATGTTAGATCTGGCAGAAAAGGCTAATCTTTCACAATATGACAAATCAAGGTTCGAATCCTCATTAGGAGAAGTGCCCATATTTACTATCCGACAATATCTCAAATAAAATTACTACCAATGGGAAGATACCTAAGTTTAGGGAAAAAATTTAAAAATATTAAGGAGAATTTCACTTAAGTCCCATAAAAGGGGCTGTTGAAAATAATTACCAAAACATTTTGAAGTGTCATTGAAGTCTTTTAAACCTAAAATGAAATCAAATTAGAAAGCAAAAGGACCATGTTGCCTTTATAAGTGGAATACAAGCTTTAACAACAAATAATGGAGGGAGAAATAACATATCAACATATGAAAATTTATAACGAATAATAAAAATATAAAAATTCTCTTTTTACCAAAAAAAAATGAAAACTCAAAATATGGAAATTTACAATTTAATTTCATTATGGGACAGAGAGACTGATTTGGAGTTTCAAAACCTGTTTAGACTTTTTATAATTACTATTATGTTCATATTTTTGGACTTAACTAAAAATTTTCCCAAAATATCAATGTCGTTAAATTATATATTCTGTAATAATTGTACAAGCTGAGTGTGATAATGTGATTTTCATAATATTATAGGATCATTGAATGTTACCAACTCATATTTCTTTTAAAAAAATAAACTTATTTTTGAAAAACTGCATATTAGAAAATTTTGAATATGATTTGTTCAGATTAAATTTTTGAATGGTTTGAATTTCATTACAACTTATATCTATACAATTTCTCATGTCAAAGATTGAATGATACTTCTTAGACCTTTTTCACACACACAACTTCTTAGATTGTTTGATTATCTTGTCAAAAGAACAGCATGGTACATGAATTAAATTTTGATTGAAATATGAGAATGATTGCTGATAAAATTCTTTTTGATAGCAAAAAACTTTAAAGTTAAGTATCAAGAATTTACTAAAGTAAGAACATGCCTACGTATAAAATTGCATCCTCTGGGAGATTCAAGAGCCAATGACCCCTTATCCTACAATGTGCATCACTTTTAAAATATCATACCTTTTGTCCGTTGCTTCCTAAACTTACGAGATGACAAAGTAAGTAACCAAGTACAGTGGAACAATAGAAACTAATACTCACAATCTCATAAAAAATCAGACTTTTGTTTCCCATGAGACATGGCTTTTTTTGTTGGATAAGGTTTTAAATATCCGAAAGTATACACGAAATACTCAGCACTTAACAGTTTTTTTTTCTCTTTATATGTCCTAAAAGTTTGTTTTCATAACAAAAATATTCTAGTCGTTATTTGTCATTAAATTTGATTGTTAAATTATATAGTTTAACCGGCATATTTAACGGTTAAACTTAAACAACAAGATAAAATGCTGCGAAATAAAACTTCCAAGGCATGGAAGAACCAAAAAAACTTTCAGATATTGGGCGCCCCTTAATGGATTCTTCTGGAATATTTAAACACCTTATTTAAAAAAAAAAAAAAAAACTGGAGCATTCCCCGAAACCCTTACAACAACTTTAGTTGGATAACTCTGTACCAAAAAAAAACTTCAGTTGGATAACTCATTTTAATTTTCTATTATTGATCATTTTATTAAAAAAATAAAAGTGGATCATATAAGAGCATAAATGACTAATCTGAATATAAAACATTAAATTCTAACCCTCTTCTCATCATCCAACAGCCTCAACACGGAAAGGTGGGGATGATCAAAAGCACAAAAAGTGCGATCATTCCAATTTCTCTTGAAAATAAGTTCACAAAAAAAAAATGGTGACTGCACACATACAATGACACAAAATGATGACAAAAGCATTAAAATGCAATATTTTCATAATCTTATGAGTATGTTTATCCCTCTTTGCTAAATGGTTTCCATGTTACAGATTGAATGATTTTCCTCAGATTTTTTCTCAACCATGACTTACATGTGCGATCGTTATATTTTCCGTAAAGGGTTAAAACTCAAAGCTTCGCCTTTGAAAAAGCTTTTGAAGTCTCTTTCAATTTTCAAGCCCAGTCGAAGAGTTGAAGGGAGAACCAGCATCCAGTACCATCATCACCGCACGGACGCTCTCTAACGAGATTTCGTCTCCTATGGCTAGCGAGCAGCTGATAATGGAGGCCGACCAAGCCTTTCTTCCCCACGATATGGTCATTACCATCCTCGAAAGACTTCCAGTGAAATCCCTAATCCGCTTTCGAATCGTAGGCAAAAATTGGGAAAAACTCATCAAGACTCCATCCTTCATCCGAGACCAGCTCCACCAGTCCAGCCATCAAAACCATTTACTTCTCCTCAAATGGCACCGTGCTGGGTCCGCGCAAATGCAGGTTGGTTTTCTGGATCGCGACATGCAAGTCCTTGAAGTTCAAAAATCACCTTTGGCCAATTGGAATTTTGCTTGGATCGTTGGTTCCAGCAACGGCTTGCTCTGCGTCGTGGAGAAAGGTGTTTCTGATGCCCTTTTATTGTGGAACCCAGCGATTAGAAAGGTCAGAAAGGTGTGTCTTGAAACTAGTGCGACTGATTATTTTTTCGGATTTGGGTTCAGTCCAAATGATAATGATTACAAGATTGTGAGAATTAAAGTTCTTGATTATCAAATTGTGCCTAAGCGAATGAAAGTGTATTCACTGAACTCTGAGTCATGGAAGAAAGTTGAAGTTGCGAACTTGGAGGGCTTTAGAGTTCGTAGTTCTAGAAATGTCACTGTTAATGGAGTTGTGTTTTGGATTGGTGGAAAGCAGGGTGGGAATGATTATGATCAGATACTTTCATATGACCTATCAAAAGAAGAGTTCACAGTAATACCAATGCCTATATTAAACTCTTATGATGAGAAAAGGCTTATTGTTTATGAGAACAAAGTTGCTGTGGTTGCTTGCATTAAAGGAGAGGATAAATTATATTCCATTCATTTGTGGGTGAGGGAGGAGGATACATTTGAATCCAGGCAGGATTGTAAGAAATGGAGTTGGACTAAAAGATATACTAGTTGCCCTTGTCCATGCAAGTTAAAACCAGTGAGTATGTGGAAGAATGAGATTGTCTTCCTACCTTTTGATACTGGGAATGATGGTCAAACACCAATTTTGTATTTGCTCAATATCACTACTGATGTGTTTAAGAAGCTTGCTGTTGGATCTAACTCCTACAACATTGAGCTTTTCAATTATGTGGAAGGTCTTGCATTACTTGCCCACGACAACGTTGAAAAGCTTTGATCCTGAATTTTGATTGTTACATTGAATATTTGCTCTATTTAAACACTTTTGGTGGAAATGAATCTATCGTAGCTTATCTCATTTGGGTATTTATGGTTGTTAAATCCTTAATGCTTTTTGCTGGTCGGCTTCATTATTACAAAGTGCTGCCCTGGGAAAGGGCGGGGGTTAATTCGCTGGAATGAAGGTGAAGGACTACAAGGATTTGCTATCCAGCTGGAGGAGTGTGATGCACATATAACCGAAGCGTGGGGGATCTATGAAGGACTTAATATTTGCTGGCAAATGGGCTTTAGAAAGATCATTGTTGAATGTGATGCTGCAGAATTGGAAGAGGAACTCAAAACACGGAGGATCTTGGGAAGCAACGTTCTAGCCAATAATTTTAACGAGTTGCTGAATAGAGAATGGCAAGTTGGAATCCAGCATATTTACAGAGAAGGGAATAGGTGCGCCCGCCTGCTCGCTGCGTTAAGCTAAGATCAAGAAAGACGAAAGTTCATTTGGAATGTGCCTCCAGCAGAAGTCTAGCAAGTTTTTCTGGAAGATCAAGCTGGGATTGGCATTATGCGAAGAACTCTAGCTAGTTAATCTCTTTGTTTTGGGCCTTAGCCCCTCTTTTTTACCAAAAAAAAAACAGAAACGAAAAAGCTGCTTCAAAAGTGGTTAGAACAATGGCATTGCGTTGTGCGATTCATTTAGCCGACTCATCTAATAGGATAAGGCTTATTTTTGTTGTATTTTGATCCCTTGGCATACCTCTGGCTAGTATACTGCCAAGCCCATTGCCATTCGACTATCTGGGGGAATGAAATCGCCTCCTTCTCCCATCCTGAAGATGATGAAGACGAAGATGTGGAAATAAAGTCTTTTATACATATCTGTTTGATCTCTCTACTAATGCATTCAAGAAGTTCACTATTCCTTGTAGGTGTAATAGAATTTTCAATTATGGGGAAAGCCTCATATCAGTTAACAACATTGAGGCTTGAACTTAAATCTTAATTAATACATACATGGTAGATTTTCTTTGCTTAAGAATTTCTGATTGAAATACATATATGTAGCTACCATTTTGGATCATTCTGAGCATATTATTGTTGCTGAGTGGTGGTACTGATCAAGAACATCAGATGTTTGTATCTTTATTAGGCCTATTGATTAAGGCAGATTGTTCGGTTTTCAAATATGGATATATCATTTGGGGCTTGTCCATTAAATGTAGAGATGATTTTTATTATATAGGAGTTAGTGAATCAATTGAGTTTCCTGTGTTTTCATTTAATTTCTGGTTTTTGAAAGTAGTTTTCCACCTCGCAAGGGTATGTGTTTTCCAAATACTATCACATATCCTCAATATGAGAACTACATACTCCTCTGGTTGTAAATATAAAACCTGTTTGGTAAGTTATACTACAAAATGGGTTTTATATTTAGGACTGGAGGGAGTAACTAATATTGGGGTATTAAAAATATTAGTTAAATTAGTTATTTGTTTATTATCATAAGTGTGTGTTAATCTATGTAAATTATTATATTTAATCGTGTATATTGAAATATTTTTTTGATAGGAACTTCTTTAATCTCCTTAATTTCATGCTATGGTGATCTCTTGACCACGCTATTGTGGCTAATTATAATCTGTTCCCGCACATTAAAATTGCCACGTATGTACTATCAAAAAAAGAAAAAAATTGCCACATATGTTTAAATCTTTTTTCTTTAAAAAGCAACAAGAAAACATTTGGTCGCATAATTTGATGATATGATCACTTGTTATTCAATTGTTGTTATTCACGATGTTGTTAATGGTAATTTATAGTTAACCTTGTAATTGAACCTATGAGTTTTTGTGAAAAAGTAGTTACTCGTTTAGGCAGTAGTCATTGGTTAGTCAATTGTTGCTATATGCCTTTTTTTTAATTTAAATAAAATCATAATTTTAAAAGTGCCAACTAAATATATGAAAAAATTTATCTCAATTTATAAAAAAAGTCTTTTTTAAAAGCACTTCTTGAATAATCTAAACACCCCTTTTAATTATTTTCAATTAGAAAGTATAGATACTAATGGCTTGAGGTTACAAACGAAATGAAACTAGTAACATATTGTGTCACTAAGTTGTAATTCCTTTGACATTATTGTTATACGCTACATTGTTATAATCATCCTTAACTCAGGTCAAAAAATATAATCATCCTTAATTAAACTTGTGATTGAATCAACAAGTGCTTATGAAAATAATACTACCTCCAATCTTAATTTTAAGAGCCAGTTGACTAATTTGAGAAAATTAAAAAAGTAAGTTGAATTAGTTATTTGTCCTGAATAAGTGTTATCTTTCCTAAAATATCCTTACTAATCAATTGTATTGACTAAAATTATTATTATTAGAAGAGTTATTTTGGAAAGAAATATATAAATATGAGAGACAAAGTAGATTGGGGTCTTATATTTATGATCAAAATAAAAGTTAAACAGAGTCTTATATTAAGGACTAGAGGTAGTAGTTTTTTTTCTGCCAACATTATTACAAACATTTTTAACTTATTTAGATGGTATGACCATTTGCTATATAATTATTATTATTATTCGTTATTATTCGTTTAACTGTTTTAGTCATTATATATATGTGTGTGTATCTATATCTATATCTATCTATCTATCTTGCGAACATAGTCATTTTATATATCTCAAAACTCGATAATTACCTTATATTGTTTTGCATTTATTAAGTGGTGGGAACAAATCATCTAATCAATTTGGGCTTTAGGTATTAATCTATTTTTTTTATATGTAATGTTTTTAAGGGAAAATAAGTTTGAAATTACTATATCTCAAATAAATTTTTTTAATAAAAAGGGGTTATTATTTACAAATCTAGTGTTATTAAAACCCATTAAAGTATAGGAAAATTGCAATTTAGGACCTTGGAATTACAAAAACGCAGATAGGGACCCTTGATAACTTCACTTTGGGTTTTGACAACAATAATATGTCATGAAATTGTCAAAACCCAAAGTGAAGTTGTTAAGAGTCTCTATTTGCGTTTTTGCAATTCTAAGGTCCTAAATTGCAATTTCCCCTTAAAGTATTGTCATAAAAACTCCTCTTTCTTTTAAGGAATAATAGTAATATCCATGATCTTTAATGTAAGAGTTAGTTGAATATTTTAAAGAGATTAAGAAGGTTTGTTAAGTTAGTTATTTGTAATAACTACTCATTTGATCATATTTATAAGACAGAAAGAAAATATTTTTTTAGCTCTATTTATAAGACATCGAGAGAAATTTTTGTATAGATGTATAATTTTACCTTTCATTTATTATTGTGTTGACTTTATTTACATAAGTTATAATACATATTAAATAGGAATAAAATTAAAAATTTATTAAATTTTAAACGAGAGTTAACGAAATTTAATGTTTTTCTTGATTTGTATGAAATATGTTAGAAGTAATTTATAAATAAGACCAAATAAGTATATATTATGTTGAAAAATGAATAAATAAGAGTTAGTTAATAGAACATTTAATATATACAATTATTATAAGAATTATTATAAATAAATAAATAAATATAAATAACAAAATGGATTGAGATTTTATATCTAAATTAAATTAAAAACCTTTATTGTGCACCATGTTACTAGTTGATAGATAGGGGCCCACTTTTTAATATAAACGCGCGCGCGCCATTCCTCCGGATCTGACACCGAAGGCCTTCTTTTCTGCAAGCCCTAGCTTTCACCACTCTTTATCTCAGTTCTTCGCACGGTGAAGTAGATAATGGCCACCATTTCTTCCCGAAGAAATCATGAGGAACATTCTCAAACGGCTGCCGGTGAAATCCTTAATCCGATTTCGGTGTGTGCGCAAAGATTGGAAATATCTCTTGAAAACCCCGTCTTTTATCAACGACCATCTCCGCCACTCCCGCCATCAAAACCCTTCTCTTCTTTTCCATTGGAATGGCAGAGTTGATCCCTGGGAATTATATTTGCTTGATTTTCATATGAAACTCCGTCAACTGCCAAACACCTTCGGTCAGTTCCTCGTTACCAGAGAGCATCGTCGGTTCCAGCAATGGCTTGCTCTGTCTTGAAATAGGTAAGTATGCTACGACTCCCCCCACATTTTTGTTGTGGAATCCAGCTATTGGAGAGACCAGACGTGTGTCTGAAACTATTATTCACTTTCGGAGCGTTTATCGGGTAGGATTGGGATTCAGTCCCATTCTTAATGATTATAAGATAGTGTTAGTTCATATGTTTGAGGATGAGGATGAGGCTTGTGGTTATCGAGTGATAAAAGTGGAAGTGTATTCATTTTGCGCTGGCTTGTGGAGGGAAGTAGGATTTGGGGACTCTTCGGGTTTTATGATTAGTGCGGACACTGCTACTGCCAATGGAAATATGTTTTGGTTTGGGACGGAGGTGAACGAAGAAGGAATAGAAGTTTGTGAATCAATAATTTCATTTGACATTACAAGAGAAATATTTACCATAATACCAATGCCTCCATTAGACTCGACTAAACATGAAACGCTTGCCGTGTATGATGACAAAATTTGCTGTGCTTTGTAACAAATGGACTGGACATAAATATTACGTTGAGTTGTGGGTGATGGACGAGGGTACTGGCCCATCTGAGGAGAGATGGAGTTGGATTAAGAAATATACTAGCAGCCTCACTCCCTGGGTATTACATCCAATGATTATTTGGAGGAATGAATTATTCTGTATAAATGAATTTGAAGTCAGGAAGCATAGAATACAAACTCTTCTGGCTCTGTACGATATCAATGCTGATGATGAATTCAAGTTTGTTCCTTTTGACAGATGGTTTCTTCTTGGAATTTTCATGTTATGTGGAAAGCCTTGTATCAATTGACAACATCCACATTGAAGAGCATTGATCCTAAGTCTGAACTGTTTACATTGCAGATTTAGTTTGCACGAACTCTTTTGGAGATATTGTTTTTTGATTTATGCCCTCCAGTGATGTTATGTAGGAAAATGATGAATGCAGATATTAAACCCTGAATGTTTCAAGCTTTATCTGACCCATCTATGACATCAAGTGTTCAGTTTTCTTCCAATATGCACATATAATTTTAGACTTGTTGAATATGCAATATACTGATGGTGAGACGCTAGAAAAGTAAGGGAAGCAACTTTTATTTTAATTTTGTAACCCTTTCGTTTCAGTTATTTATTTTTTATGGAAGTAGTTTTCCACCTTACAAGGTGGCACGTGCTCTTTGTAGGATTATAATTAATAGTATCTGCTTCGAGATCCTTATGAAGTCCTTGTCATCTGATGATCATAAGAACCTAAATGCTTAATTGGATGAAAAAATTGGAGGAGAAAAAAATTTAAATTTTCTCCGGTGGGGTATTCATGGGAGGGAATGGTGTTTGGTGGAAAATTTTGAAGATTAATGATCCTCACATAGTGCGGCTTTTCATATGGGCGTGGATGGAAAATACTTCAAGAGACTTTGCAAGGTCTTCATCCCAATGTGATTTTGGTTTGTATGTTCTATGGATTTAGCCTGAATCAGGGAAATCATTAAGTTTTCTATGGATTGTGTTAATTTGTGGGTGATGGAGGGGGCTACAGGCACATCAGGAGACAGCTGGAGCTGGACCAAAAGGTACACTAGTTATAGTTGTTGATTGTTGATGTCCTTAGTGGTCATGTTACCTGGAATGATGAATTATATATATATATATATACTCCTCCGGTCCTTATTATAAGACCCAATTTGACTTTTTATTTGGTCCTAATTATAAGACCCAATCCATTTTGTCTCTTATATTTATGTATTTTTTTCCAAGATAATTCTTCTAATAATGATAGTTTTAGCCAATATACTTAATTAGCAAGGATATTTTAGGAATGACAACACTTATTTATTATAAATAACCAACTTAACTTACTTCCTTAATCTCCTCAAATAAGTCAATTGGGTTTTATAATTAGGACCGGAGGAGTATTCAATACCAAATGGTAAAATTTCATGCCTTATTTTAAGTGGCTAATACTATTTTTAGTTTATGAAATTCGATATTATTTTAATTTTGGTTCCTAAAATTTAAAAGAAAAAATGATAAAAAAAAAATACCCATTGAACTTTAAAAAGATAAATAGGTTATGCTAGTTACACTTGAAATGGTTTTGACATGTTAAAAATCTATCAAAATCACTTATTTATCATCTTGAAATTCAATAAGTATTTCTTTTTTCATTTTTTTAAATTTGAAATCTAGTAGTTTTAGTTCTTGAAATCTTATTTTAGAGACCAAAAACACTATTTGAAGACTGAAAATCTTTATGTAAACCAATTTTAGTGATCAAAATCATTAAGTTTAAATTTCAAGAATCAAAATTAAAAAAAAGTCAAACTTTAGAAACTAAAAATGGTATTAATTTTATTTTAATCTATCAATAATATCAAGTTCATAAAAAAAAAAAAACCAGAGCGAGAGAGATTTTGTTTTCTTGGCACGGAAAAAAAGTAGCTCATGACAAATGGGAATAAGTGATTCTGTTATTTGGAACTACAATGTTACTATGCAAAATAAGTATTTGTATATAAAATTTCGATTGCAGTGACATTTCAATTCATAATTTTGTGAGTCATGGACTTCTTACCAATTAGATTTAACTCTTACATGAAGAGTTAATGTAATTTTACTTGCAATCTGCGCATTCTAAAGAGTTCCGGTTTGGGAAAAAAAAACCTTTTTTTAAATAAAACAAAATGGGCAACCATTAGAGTTGGGGAAAAAAAATGAAATGAACTTATCCATATATAAACCCCACTAAATCAAATTGCATAAGCCAAATAATCTTTTAAAAGAAAAAAAAGCATTCCGTTACTTATCAGATTCTTAATCTAGAGCTATTTATGTTGCTATTACTCATTCGGTCCTTAATATAAGATTTAATTAATTAATTTGGTAGATTACTGATATCAATTAAATTAGTTAATATGACATATTTTAAAATATTTTAAGTATCTTTTTTAATTTTTTTCTTTTTTTTCTACTTGATTATTATTGAGAAAATATTAATAGGATTAATTTGAAAAAAATTAATAAATGTGAAATAAATCTTATATATAAGGTTGATGTAAACTCTCAAATTAAGTCATATATTAAAGACTGGAAAAGTATTATTAAGTTAAATAAATTACTTACCTAATCTTCTTGAAATAATAATTTGTAATGTTAGATATATATTAGTTTATAAGTTATATAAATTGGTTAAAAAAACTAAATATAAAATAAATAAATTAAAATTTTATATTTAACACTAGAACTCACCTCCTAACATGATCTTATATCTAGGACTGAACAACAATATTTTTTGTGCAAATCAAATTTTTAAAATTTGGTTGGGTTCAAGTTTTGATGAAAGTCGAACCAAACTACACTTTTGATTTCATATACTTTAATAGAAATTAATGTCTTAAACCATAAAAAGAATAAAAAATTCCCAAGGCCCAAAACGTTTTGTCCTTCATGTTCAAAATCTTCCCTGAAAGACGTACCTCTTCCCTTGGCTCGCCTTGTTCCACGTGACCCTTCCCTCTCTCCAACTCACGGCCTCAATCAAACCCGAATCTCTCACCACCAAATCCACAAACAAAACAATGCCCTTCTTCACTCACCGTTCACTGATCTTTTTTCTCCCAAATGAGCCCTCATTTCTTTAATCCCTCCCTTTTATGGCTCATTTGCTAGCTACCACTAACCCTCCCACTACCTCGCTGAAACTATTCTTCTTCTGCTCGTCGGAATCCGCCATTGTTAACGGTGTTAGAAACGCAGGGTATTACAATGCGAGAACGAAGCGACATCGTTTTAGCGGAAGGTGTTCGAATTCGAGCGTAGTTTCTGCGGAATTGCAGATCGAGAAGCAGAATGAAGAAGAAGAGAAAGAAGAAGGAAGAAGGACAAGGAGAATGATGAGTGTGACTGATGATGAGAGAGAGTGTTTGGTGTGTGAGAATGGATGGAGAGTGAGGAGGCTTGTGGAGAAAGATGAGGAAATCAGAAATGCTGCGAATGTTCAGGCGGAAGCTTTCCATGTTCCTGTCTCGCTCTTCAATCCCGTGTTCTTCCAGTTCTTTCAGGTTCTGATTCATTCGCCTTGTCTTCAACTTCAGCAGATTTTGATCTTTTTTCTTTTTTTGGAATTTCAATCTTGAGAAATTGTTTAGCCAATGTTGTTATGAGGTTAGTTATTAACTTATTCTCATTCTCAACGGCGTTCCTCCTGGGTCAATATGTTTTGAAGTTGTTAATTATTCTCTCGATATTATCGAGTAACCTTTTTGTAATAAAAAAATTCTTTTAATATATAAAAAAGGGAAAATCCCAGAAAAAGCCCTTGGAATATACTAAATTTCAGATTGGGTCCTTAAATTTCGAAAATGACAGAATGGGTTATTGACCCAATTTGTCATTTGTGAAATTCAGGCGAATTGACATTTTTACCCTTGAGCAAAAGTGAGTAGTTATTCTCTAAACAAATCTAGGTAACGCTTATACTGTTCTAGTGATTACAAAATTCGTTGTAGTTAATAATAAGGTACCTGACAATAATAAGATACCTGACTATGAAAAAATGAGTAGTTATTCTCTACACAAATCTAGGTAGTGCTTACATTGTTCTAGTGATTACAGCATTAGTTGTAGTTAATAACAAGACACCTGACTATGAAAAAGTGAATAGTTATTCGCTATACGAATCTAGGTAACACCTAAACTCTTATAGTGATTCCTTGAATTATTGTAGTGAATGAATAAATGAGGGCAAAATTGTCAATTCGCCTGAATTTCACAAATGACAGATTGGGTCAATGACCCATTCTGTCATTTTCGAAATTTAAGGACCCAATCTGACATTTCCCATATTCCAAAGACTTTTTTTGGGATTTTCCCTATAAAAAATTTAAAAAATTATAAATTTAAAAGTGAAAACAAATTGATTAGTTGAATCGGTGAGCAGGTGAAATATAGCTGCCTTAATGATTATATTTCTTTTTATTTTCAAATTTTACTTATACCGCATCTTTTTTCCCTTTTATTTTAAAACAAAGTTTTTTTAAGGCCCTGTTTGGTTTGAAAGGAAGGTAAGAGAGGGAGGGGAGGGTGGGTAGGGAAGGGGAGGGGAGTTTTTATCCTCATTGTTTAGTTTGATTAAAAAGGAGGAGACGGAAGGATATTTAATGATTCCCTGTTTGGTTCAAGAAGGAAAGAGGAAGGATAGTAATAATCAATTTATTATTTTACTCTTACATATTAGTTTATATTTTTTATTGATATATTATATAAATTAATTTGCATTTTAATTTAAATCGTATAATTTAATAAAAATTCAGTCTTATCATGTTAATATGTGCATTAAAAAATTGGTACAATATTTTTTTAATTCTAATTAATATAATAATATATTTGAAATAATCAAATTAACAAATTTTATATGCTCTATAAAAATTGAAATTTTATGCTCTTTAGGCTATGCCTTTTTTCAACTTTAAAATATATTTAATAAATAATATATTTATAAAAAACAATTAATTTTATAATATTATAATTTTTTATTTAAATAATGTTTTTCATTTTTATAATAATTTATATTAATTTTTATTATAATATATTTTTTAATTATAATAATTATATTTTTTTTACTTAGGATAATATATTTTTTATTTAAAATAAATATTATAATAACATATTTTATGGATAGATGTAGAATATCAAACAAATCATAAGAGTATAATAGTTCAAAAATTTAGCTTCCCTCCAAAAACCTCTAATTTGGAGGTGAGCTAAAATGGACAGACGGAGATGAGAGGAGAGAACATTTTGGCTTCCTTTCTCTTCAAAATTTTTAACTAAATGAGGAGAGGGGTTCATTTTCTCTCCCCTCTTCTTCCCTCCCTTCCAACCAAACACACTATAAAACTATTAATTAATTTAAATTTAAACATTTCCCAGTTTAAGGAAATGATAACTCTTTCTCCGTTTTACAAGATTCAATACCATTTTTTAAATGTAATACATGAATTCATTTTTTTTTTATTTACAATTTTTCTTAAGTTATCTTTATTATTGCAAATATAAAGGACTTTTTTTTTTCTCTTTTTTGTTTTCTTGCCAAAGAAGGAGGATTTTTTTTCCCCTTAAATCAACATATATATGTATATTTTACAATAATTTAGGTTAGCTAATTTTTATCAATTTTCATGTAATATTTTATGAAATGCAAATTTTCTTTCCTAACTTCTTGATGTCCTGTTGCGATGCACGTAGGCAGAAGTGCTCTCCGGCCTCCTTTACAAGTTAAAGAGCTCTCCTCGTGACAGGTAAGTTTAAAATATTTTCTCTCTTGAAAGGTTACACATAACATTTTATAAATCTGATTCATTTAATCCGAAACTCTAAACGGCTGGATTTTTTTTTTTTTGGGGGACAAAAGGTTGAAGATTGAACCTGTGATCTTCCACATATAGAAAGCATCCATACCATTAAATTACAAACATTTTTGGGGGATTAAAAAAAACATTTTTATAAGATTGAAAAAACCCTTTTCAACCCACTCAATTGGTCAAATTTACATCATTCAAAAATCAGAGTTTCTCCCTCTTGAAGAAAAAAACCTTCTACCTTCGGTAACTTTGCTGTGTAATATATTGTCTGCTTCGTGATTTGGTTTGGAATGGGTAAATTAATCACTCTGTCAGATTTACAGGTATATACTCATTCCCTTCAAAATCTTTTTCTTATCAAAAACATTAAAAAAAAAAATAGAATTCTCCCCCACAATGTGGATTAAATGGATCAGATTGTCGTAAAACAAGTTAATATTTGATGTTGCTTGAGACAAGTTTGATTCATATTACAATATTAGGTATGCTTGTTTGGTTGCTGAGGAGGCAGCAGCCACAAAGAGTTCATCAGATTCATCAAAACAGATAGTGGGAGTTGTAGACGTGACTGCCCTGAGGGATGAGAATGTGCTTCAACATCTCCCTCCTCATGCAACAGAATATCTTTACATCTCTGGAATTGCGGTCTCCTCCAATTTCAGGTCAACTACTTAAACCTTAATCTCACTACAAAGAATCATATACAAAAATGCTTGTAGGAGGAGGAGAAGAAGAAGAAGGGGATGATTAATTGTGTGAGTAATTGATGAACAGGAGGAGGAAGGTGGGAACTGCATTGTTAAGAGCCTGCGATGTGCTATCAGATGTGTGGGGATGTGAGTTTTTGGCACTGAGAGCATATGAGGAAGATTGGGGTGCTCGCAGATTATATTCAAAAGCTGGTTACAAAGTTGTGTCCAGAGATCCGCCATGGTTGTCCACTTGGATTGGAAGGAAATGTCGTGTTCTTATGATTAAACGAACAACTTAGTCAACATAAAACTTATATATATATATGTAAAGCTTGTAATATATTGTCCCCTATTCTTAATATAAAAACTAGTTAAAAGATTGAATTTGATCTTAAATATAATATTTTAATTTACTTTGTTTCTCAAATTTATAATATTTTTCCTAAAATATCTGTACTCATTATAAAGGATTCTCATCAAAGATAGTTCCAATATTCATAATTAAATAGGGTAATTTAAGAAAATCAGTATATATTTATTACGATTAACCAATTACAGGTAGTAAAATTATTAATACCATATTATTTCTTTCAATTAACTAAGATTGGTTTGGTTGATCCATTCATATTACAGAGGAAGTTGGTCCATACTGTACATAAAGTTGTGAGCCTGGCTTTTGTTAACGACATGAGAATCCGATTAATGAAAAGTTTGTTTATATTTTGGCAAGTGTTTTTTTGAATCGTAAGGCTTAGTCTAATCTGAATACTTTTCTGTAATCCAAACTCATTCAAGTCTTTATACACACACAACTTGCACGTCTTTTTTAATCAAGAGCAACAAAAATAGGAAGATAGGATAAATAGAAGAAAAAATAAAATTGTAAAAAGGAGTGAGAGTTCTCTAGAATCAGAAACTAATATGAAGTAAGAGAATCTGGAAAGTAGAAGTAAAAATAGGATAAATGAAAAGAAGAAGAAGAAAAAGAGTAGAGGAAAAAAAATCCTAGAACCACATTGCTTCAATTCTTAATATAAAACCTACTTTATACTGCAGTTTATATCACAAAATAGGTTTTATATTAAGAATCTGAGAGAATACTAAAGAAGAGAGAAGATGAAATAATCCACTGAAAAATACTTTATTTATATCTTTGGCAAAATACATGATATGACATTCATAATTTTGACAGCATATAGCTGAAATTAACTTCCAAACCCTAGAAACATGGAACTGCTGCTAACTAGCAATAACAACAGCTAACTACTAAGGATAGACACAAAGGCATATACCAACATAAAACACATGCATAATATCTAAGAACTGCCACGCCTCTTCCTAGAATGAAATAGTAAGAGGCCAGTGGTTCCTATCACACTTCAACTCAAATATACACCATGCTGTAATTCACTATTCTTCTACATACATATATATATATATGTGTATGTGTGTATGTGTGCATGTACATATTCGTGTATCTATGCATATTTGTATATATGTATGTGGTGTTTATGGCTCCACAATGATTTTTCCAGTAGCATGGCCATCAATGCTCTTAGCCCAAGCATCTTCAGCTTGACTCAAAGGGAAACGAGAGTCAATAACACATTTAAGCCTTCCATCTTTCACCAACTGAATCAGATAACTCAGGTTCTCTTTATTGGGTGTTGCAAAGAACGGCACTATTTGCTTCTTAGAGAAAGTGAGTTTCTTCAGAGCAAAAGTCGCCATTGAAATCAAACCAGGCGTTAAGTCTATTACCTTTCCTTTATCACTCAGCTGAGGCTCAAAAGTGGACCATGGTATACCAGTTGTGCAATGTATCACCGCATCGTATTTTCGACCAGATGGACTCTTTAAAGCAGCTCCTTCTGGAGTCTTATAGTCAAGAACCTCATCAGCACCTAAGTTCTTGACCAAGTCAACGTTGCGGGCCCCGCAAGTGGCCGTGACGAAAGTGTTCCCTAGCTTTGCAAGTTGAACTGCAAAGTGACCCACGCCGCCTGAGGCGGCGGTTATTAAGATGTTCTTTTGTTCACCAGTTCCATCAAGCTTGACACCAGCAATTTCAATGAGGGGTTGGTAAGCTGTTAAACCAGCCAAAGTTAAAGCGGCAGCTTCAGCTGCTGAGACTTCAGATGGTCTCAAAACTGTTAAGCTCTCAGTAGCCACAGCAAACTCAGCAAGTGCACCTCCATGCTGTCATTCAATATGAACAACATTCGTAAAAATGAATTATGTATAATTATAAAAGTTAAGGTACAAATCTACATTCACAAATGCGAACCTGGAACCATAATATACAGTTGGGTGTAAAAAGCCGAGGAAGGTTCCAAAAGGTTGCAAAAATGCCGTCCCCATTAATTTAAGTCAATGTCCTTCAACTTTTAGAACGTAAACAAATGTGAGAGCCACCATTAAAGAGTAACGGCTGTGGCATTTTTTTGCCCTTTTGGAATCTTCATGGACATTTTTGTAATCAAATGAACATTATGGTCTAAATTACACATTAATCAATACTTTATAGGTAAATTTGTACTTCGATCCTAATTACAATATATTGGCACTGATTGTAAAATCATGCAAGCAATCAGGCTGCATCATCAGAGTTTTCTAGATTGCAGATAAAATAAACACAATACACTTACATTCAAGGGATTAAGATGAACGCGTTAGCACATACTAATGGAGACATAAAATATTACATTTAGCTTCCCTGGTTTATCAGGCATAAATCCACCTCTGGTGGTTTTTATTTGAAAAACTGAACATATGTTGCGGTTTGATTCCCCCCCCCCCCCTCTCCATCTGCTATACATTTTTCCTCACTGCCACCAATGAAATATCTAATCAAGCAACCAATTATACCCCTCCCATCCTAAACAGTTAGCGGAGGGATTCGCTTTGGTTATAAATGGAATATCCCGATTCATTTTATCTCCCAAATTTATAATTTGTTTTCTAATAATTACACTTATTAAGGGTTTTACATAAAGGAGTAGTTTCCAAAAAAAATAATTAAAAGGGTATTTTAGAAAACTAACACATATTTCTTACAGATAATTAGTTTAACTAATTTTTTTAATTACTATAAATCCGTTATCTAACTCTTACATTTAGGACGGAAGGAGTATACAACAAACCACCAAAATATCAAATAAGTTAGAGAGAAGATTACATCATGAGCAAGATAAGCAACCACTTTGTCACCAACTTTGAAATCTTTGACTTTTGATCCAACCTCTACTATCTCTCCTGCTATATCAGTACCTATTTTCAACAAAAAAATTAGTTCAGACGCATCATGTATCCCAAAGTAGAGTTACGTATGATGCAGGCTGCAGCAAAGCCTATTTAGAATTGCGCAGTATGTTGAATTCAAATAAGGTACTTATCTTCAATAAATATGATAACATAAAGATGTGCATAGAATATACATGCATGCATAATATATGGAGAGACATAACAAAACTGGAAGGAAAAGGGGGGAAAAAAGCACGCTGATGAAATCAAGAATTGTAAAATCAAACCACATGACTGGATCACATTCTGAGAGCTAACTACAAAATACATCTATGACATTAGAACCTTCTAAATACCAAAAAAAAAAAAAAGATAATTTTTACCAGGGATATAGGGGAACTTTCGAGGTAACAGAGGCCTTGCTACAGCCTTTTGAATCTTCCAATCAAAAGGATTCAGACTAGCCGCTTCCACTTTCACCAAAACCTCATTTTTATTTGGAGTGGGAACTGGAATCTCTACATGCTGCTCCCACATATAAAATAACCTCAGCAATCTTTTAAAAGCAAAGCTCAAATGCACAAAACACACACACACACACATATATAGACAACCACCTAGTATTCGGAATTATTGACTCTAGATTTGATCATCAGGGCACCCAAAGAATGATCTTGTTTATATATCGGACTTCCCCCTCAAACAAAAACACTTGGACTTGAAGCGGGAATCACAGTATCACGAGCTTTAAATCTAATTTAGTTGGAAGAACAGTGGGCCGCATGAATCTAATTCTTAACTACTTGGTCCGGACTTAATTATTAATAAAATAAAGCTTTGACACTAATCACTAAGTTGAAATTCTTAAAAAAATAGTAATAATAATAATAAATTGCTTGCACGGACACGCAGCGACTTTCTGCATTATTTTTTAAAAACTGAACTAGTCCAAGACAGGCTAAAAATTACAGTTCTTCCTTCTTTTTTGGTAATCAAGAGAAATCACAATTCATTAGTATAACTCCTGGTCTTCCTTCTCCTTCTTGATTTTTATTTACAGAAAACCTTTTTAAGTTAAGCGATCCAACAAAAACTCAAAAAAAGAAAAGGTGTAGATGAATTGTAGGTGAAAGACGCAGAAGAATGAAAATCACCTTCAAACCGGCGGGGCCGCCGCCATAGCGATCGTACTGAATCGCTTGCATAAGCTTCGTTGCCATCTCTGCGAGGTTAGGAGTCTCGTGGGGATGGCGTCTCGCCTTATTAAATAGTATCTTTTTGGTAGGGAAGATTCAAACAGTTTTTCTGACCTGATCACGAGAATCAAACAGTCTTTGTTGACCTGAATAAGAATCAAACAGTTGGAACTTGGAAGATAGGATGACTATTATCACCCCAACAAAAAAAAAAGATAGGATGACTATTTGGGAAAATGACAACAAAAAAAAGCCTTTAAAAATGCTGGCTGCCACATTAGTGGGAAGGCTAAATTTCCAAATTAGGTAGTATATCAGATTAGTGCATTTGACCTGATTCGATATTTTGAAATGATGCAAAATGACGTCACTCGCCCCATTTTTTTTCTTTCCTTTTTTGTAGAACGCGACCTAAGCATAGTGGCTTTACGAGTTACTGTCCTTATTTATCTTGTAGCTGTTATTAAGTTGAGAAAATGGCAATTAGGTCTCACTCAAGAAAATTAAATACAAAAAAATTCTTTAAAATCATGAAATTATTTTAAAGTCCCAAAAAAATTTTACAATAAATTTTATTTATTCACTTACCAAATTACCCTTCTTTTTTTTTTTTAAAGTTTGCATTGACAACTAAAAGAGCAGTTGTTGACAACTCAGGATGTAAGGATTGACAACTATCACGGCTGGTTTGACAACTTATGGTGTAATATGCTGAGAAAATGTGTTGTCAAACTAGCCGTCATAGTTGTCAATCTTTACACCCTGAGTTGTCAACTACTGCTCTTTCAGTTGTCAATACAAATTAAAAAAAAGAAGAAGGGTAATTTAGTAGTTAAACAAATAAAATTTATTACAAAAAGGTCCTTTGAGACTTCAGAATAATTTCATGATTTCAAGGAACCTTTTTGTATTTAATTCCCTTAAGTGGGACCTAATTGTAATTCTCCCTATTAACTATTCTAATTTTGTTTTTGTTTTACCAGCAACTATTCTAATTTTGTTATGGGTTATTTTTGTTTTTAAAGATATGGTAGTTACTCTTCTTTAACCATTCAGCATTAACTATTCCAAGTTTCTTATTAGTTACTTCTATTTTAAAAGTTTAAAAAAAAATGTATCGGAAGTTGTGATTATTACTTTCGAGGAAGAAGAGTACTCCCTCCGTTCTTTATTATAAGAGACAAATAACCAAATTATGTTGATTCAAAAAACAGTTAAAATTAGTTTAGGACAATTAATGTGTAAAAAGTATAATTTTTTTCAACAATGCTCCCATTAATAAAGAGAGAGAGTATGAGAGATAACAATTAAATTATTAAAAAAAAAGAGAAGTGAGAGGGAGAGAAAGAGTATGAGTTGGAGACAAAATAAATAGGAGTAAAGTAGAAAATCGATACAAAAAAATAGAGATAACTTTTAAGTGTCTCTTATATATGAAACATGCTATAAGCATCAAATGTCTCTTATAATAAGAAACGGAAGGAGTAATTAATAGCAGCTAAATGCCAAATTAGTACATTTGCACCCATTTGGTATTTTGAAATGATACAAAATGACACCACTACCCTCACTTTTTTTTTTTTGGCAAAGTCACTTTTTTCTCAATTTTCAGAATGCAACGTAAGTACCCCTAGCTTTAGATTTGCCATCAGTGCTACAATCACTATTCTTATTTACTTATTGATTATTCTAGTTTTATTATTGATTATTTTTGTTTTTAAAGATATGGTGACTATTTGTTTTAAACTATCAACTATTCTAGTTTTGGTGTTGATTGCTTCAATTTCAAAATTTTGAGAAATATATTAGAAGCTTTGGTTGCTTTTTTTTTTTTAGAAATAAAAGTAATCAATAGTAAAATTAAAGTAAAAATATCGATTAATTTTTGTCTATTCTTATTGTATTGAGGTTATTAATTTTTTGCATAGTGGCTATGATTCCACACACCCCTCAAAAACATTATTGACGAAGCTAGATTACTTTTTTATAGGGATTGGCAGGTGATGATTAACTATACTCATAGAGAGAATAATTTTATGATTGATCATCTTGTCAAGTTATCACACAGGATAGAAGAAAATTATTATAGAAGAAAATTATTATATATTTGGTCACATTCTATCTTTCTTAATATGAGATGGATGTTGATGAAAGAAAACCTTTTTTTGTTTGTAACCTTGATTTTATTCTTTTATGATTAATAGATACACATTTTCTATTCCAAAAAAAAAAGTATTTTTCGTGTTTTTTTGGCCAAATATTCATTATGTATTTCGGTATTTATTATTCCTTGAATTGGCATGAATAGGGTCTAATAAGCTTCCTTGAAATTGAACCCCAAAAAAATAAAAAAGAGCTTCCTACTGCATGAAAAATCGTTCCCATCCATAGGTATATTATGAAACTACAAAATGTAAGTTGAGAGGAACAAGAGCTTTAAAGAGAAGATAGGATCTAATTCTTTTCATTCACAAATAATACACTTGTAGATAGGATCGAATTCTTTTCATTCACAAATAACACACTTGTTACACCCTCTTTCTATATATGCTTCCCACTATTAAAATTGACCTACGAGTTACAACTACATTAAAAAAAAAAAATAATCTACATAATTGTACATAATGAAACAATTGGAGGTTAAAGAGCATAAATATTAGAAAATGATTTATCAGGTAGATGCAATCCCATGTCTTCTTCTGACATGCTTTGACTCAATTTGAGATATAACCCAATACTACCTCCGATTCTTAATATAAGATTTTGTTTAATTTTTATTTTAATTCTAAATATAATACTCCAATCCACTTTATCTTTCATATTTATGCATTTTTTCGTAAGGTAGTTTTTCTAACAATCGTAACACATATTTATTACAAATAATTAATTTAACTTATTTCTTAATTTCTTCAAATTAATCAACTAGCTTTTATAATTAAGACAGGAAGTAGTATTACATAAGAAATTAACACACGTGTAATTCTTGCATTTATATAGGTGAATGTAATTTATAAAATATTTATATCTCCCTCTATACAACCATTCTATTCATAATGGATTTATTCATTTAACCCTTTTTTTCCTTCCAAAAGCAACAAGAGAGGAGACAGAAGGTGACCAGGACAAGTTCACTCATAAATCAATAACTTACAGAACAGAAGCTCAAAAGACGACAGGGTTAAAAACCTAACCACAAGTCTCAATGATATGTCAAGTTATTCATTTCATCGTGAAAATACAACATATAATTATTTACTGTTCTTCTACATACATATATGAATGGGAGGGGACCCACAAACCCCTCACAGAAACAGAGGATCCAGCAGTTCCAAGAAATTTTGCCTATGGCTCCACAATGATTTTTCCAGTAGCATGGCCATCGATGCTCTTAGCCCATGCATCTTCAGCTTTACTCAAAGGAAAACGAGAGTCAATGACAGTTTTAAGCCTCCCATCTTTCACTAATTGAACCAGAAAACTCAGGTTCTCTTTCTTGGCTGTCACCAAGAACGGTATCAGCTGCTTCCTAGAGAATGTGAGTTTCTTCAGAGCAAAAGTCGCCATTGAACTCAAGCCAGGCGTGAAGTCTATTACCTTCCCATTGTCACTCAATTGAGGGTCAAAAGTCGACCATGGTATTCCGGTCGTGCAATGTATCACCGCATCGTATTTTCGACCAGATGGACTCTTTAAAGCAGCTCCTTCTGGAGTCTTATAGTCAAGAACCTCATCAGCACCTAAGCCCTTGACAAAGTCAAAGTTCCGGGCCCCACAAGTGGCTGTCACGAAGGTGTTCCCTAACTTTGCCAGTTGAACTGCATAGTGACCCACGCCACCTGAAGCTGCAGTTACTAAGATGTTCTTCTGTTCACCAGTTCCATCAAGCTTGACTCCAGCAATTTCAGTGAGGGCCTGATGAGCTGTGAGTCCAGCCACAGGTAACGCCGCAGCTTCAGCAGCTGAAACTTCAGACGGTCTTAAAGCTGTTAAGTTCGCAGTAGCCACAGCAAACTCAGCTAGCCCACCTCCACGCTGTCATTCGACAAGAATGATTAGAATGTACTGGCACAGATTGTAAACTCATGCAAACAATCATGTATCCTCAGAGTGATTTTTTTTTTCCTTTTTAAATTACAAGGTACGTTAAAAAAAATTGAAAAAACTACCTAATAGACTAAAACTGCTAAGATATTAGGAAGAAGGAAAATCAGCCTCATAAATCCTGAGTTTTCTAGACAGCAAATAAAATAAGCGCACAGTCTCCATTAAAAGGGACTAAGAACGGTGGATATAATTCACAATTGTTACGTTTAGTTAACAGATAAAAGTATAAGGAGTAGGAAAACTAGACATATGGTGCAATTAGCAAACAACTGAGTTTTGCTTTTCTCTATCTGCTATACATTTTTCTTCAGAGTCACAATTATCCCCCAGCCACCAGAATAAAGGAGTTAGGTAGAGACCTGCACCCCCTCCCCCCCCCCCAAAAAAAAAACAAAAAACCAAAAAAGAAAACATAGAAAGAAAGTTAGAGAAGATTACATCATGAGAAATTTTAGCAACAACTTTGTCACCAACTTTGACATCTTTGACTTGGGGTCCAACCTCTACTACTTCTCCAGCTATATCAGTACCTGTTTTCAACAAAAAAAAATTAGTTCAGATGCACAATCTCTCCCTTAATTTTAGAGGAACACGCCAAACAAAGTAATTGACAAATAAAACCCATGGTTAACAAACCAAATAAACATCCAAAGTAAGCAAGCATGATGCAGCCAACAAAACCTGTTTGGAATTGCGGAGTGTGCAGTCATCCTGCATCATTTTATTTAGTACTCTAAGTTCAGTCTTAGAGGTGATAGTACATTAATGTTAGGGTCTTCAAGAAGTTATTTATTTAGCTTTGTCACAGTAAAGAAAAATGTCAAAATTGAATTTTTGCTCCAGTCAGACACTTCTAAGACAACTTCAAGCAAAATGACTCCCATTTCAAGGAGCTCATACACGTTCTTGCTTAATGCTTTTTAGGTATACATTAATAATTAGAATAATATAATTTAATACCTTTATATTTATTTGATAGAAGTTTTCTGAGAATGAACAAATAAGATACATAGGATATATAGGATGATGCTGCGCTCTTTTTAATGAAGTAGATCAATAAATAAAAATTTTACATAGGCATGCCGTGTTTATACTTTTTGAAAGGGAGAAGGGACATGTCAGCGTGTCCATGTCGCTAAAGGTGCTTTATATGTTCCGTACAATGATCTCTAATTTTTTTTTTTTTCCTGGTTATCTATGCTCTTATTTAATTTTCTAGTGACTGGTTAAATAACAGGGGCCTTATGCAGCTAACTACCTGATTCCAAAGCCCAATCAATTGTCATAATCAGCTACCAGAACCATTGAATAAGGGGTTTATTTTCAAAATAGCTCAAGCTGCAAAGATGTGTGTTATGCCTATGATAATCTTCTGCTTCTATACTTTTGCTCTCTTTCCCCCTGACTATACCATCAGGCTAAACCTACAGTTTTAGTGAGATATCCTCCTCTTTTTCTTGCTTCAATATTGCCTAGAACCCTAACCCTTAATCACAAACACAAAAGTTCTGTTTCACAGCTCTGGAACAGCAAAGTATGAAGTTCCTGAATCAAAACATAGTTTGTAAAGTAGTAAAACCAACTTGAATTTCCAAATTAAGCAATAGATGACATTTCTAGCGTTTTTGGAGAGATTTTGACTCTAATAAAGTACCAGGCGCCTAAATTTTCAGTAATTGTAAATTGATTATCTGCATGTTGAATTCAAATAAGGGAAGCTAAGTCTGCCTAAGTTCAATAAATATAAGAACATACTGATAAAGATGTATAAGGAGAGAGAGAGAGAGAGAGAGTGAGTGAGTGAGTGAGATACTAACACAACTGGCAAATGTTGATGAAATCACAAATTGCAAAATCAAACAACACGAGTTTATCACAAATTTTGAGAGCTAACTACATAATATAACTGCAATATTACCAGGAATGCTCAAAAGCTTCTCAAGATACAACCCCAAAAAAAAAAAAAATCAATTTACCAGGAATGTAGGGAAACTTTCGAGGTAATAAAGGCCGTAGCATGCCCTTTTGAATCTTCCAATCAACAGGGTTCAGACTAGTTGCTTCCACTTTCAGCAAAACCTCATTTTGATTTGGAGTGGGAACTGGAATCTCAACATGCTGCTTACAAATATAAAATAAGCATAGCAATTTTTTACAGCAATGTCAAATGCACAAAACAGAAGAGAAAGAGAGAATCATCGTCAACGGCCGCTTCATACCAAAACTTCAGCTGTTAGATGAAGATCCAATAACATATATATAGATATATATTCACAATCACCTAGTATTCGGAATCATTGACCCTAGATTTGACCATTAGGGACCCCAAATGACGACCAAAGAATGATTTTATTAATATATCTGAGTCAACCCCTCAAACAAAGCCCAGTCCAACCAGATCCGGTGCTTAAATATAATTTAGTTGTAAGAAAGGAGGGCCGCATAAATGAAATTCCCAATTGCTCGGTCCTATTTGACTAATAATAAGCCTTTGAAATTCTTAGCAAGTATTATTGGACAAAAAGAAAAAGAATTGCTTGCACAGACACGCAGCACGTTTCCTTATTATTTTTTTACACTGAACTAGTCCAACAAAGATTCGACCAAGAAAATTACTATTCTTTTTTTTTATCAAGAAAAAATTAAAATCCCTAACGTAATGATCAGTTTTCATAAGCGGACCTCCTCCTCCTTCTCGATTTATTTACAGAAACCGTTCTGCGATTCAATTAAAAAAATAGCAGCATATAGAAGAATTGGAAGTCAACAACGACCCAGAAGAAGAAAATTCACCTTCAAACCGGCGGGACCACCGCCATAGCTATCGTATTGGATCGCTTGCATAAGCTTCGTTGCCATTTCCACTGATGACGAGAGGGTTGACATCTACCAGAAGCCTCTGGGCGCTCCGCCAGGTTAGGATAGTGTTGAGGGGATTGCGTCTCGGCTTATTATTAAATTGTTTTTGGGCATTTATTATTTATTTATTTATAACTGAAATGACTCAGTGACGTTGAACCAGAAAACGACATATTAAAGGTTTTGTCTAATTTTTTTACCGTGGAGAGGTTTTCTTTGTTTAAAGGCTGAAATCAAAACCAAATATACTCCTCTCATATTTAATACTCCTCCGGTCTTTATTATAAGACCCCATTTGACTTTTTATTTGGTCTTAATTATAAGACCCCAATCCATTTTGTCTCTTATATTTATGTATTTTTTTCCAAGATAATCCTTCTAATAATGATAGTTTTAGCCAATATATTTAATTAGCAAGGATATTTTAGGAATGACAACACTTATTTATTATAAATAACCAACTTAACTTACTTCCTTAATCTCCTCAAATAAGTCAATTGGGTCTTATAATTAGGACCGGAGGAGTATAAGAACTAATTATTAAGTTAATTTTGATCTTAAATATAAGCCTTAATTTTTATATTTATTAATTTTTTTAAATTATTCCTATAGATACTCTATCAACCATAATCAAGTAAAAGAGAGAGGGGGAATATTAAAGAAGATGATTATGATGTTTTAAGAAAAACATATCATATTTTTTATAACTAACTAATTTATCTAACTTTCTTAATATAATCAAATTAGTTAAATAGGTATCATATTAAGGACAAGAGAAGTATTAATTACTACTACCTACCATCCTTGGGGGTGTTTGGGTGAAACTAAATCATGGTTTGGAGAATAGCTTCTGGAGAATAAACTTATGGAAGAATAGATTTTGTGAAAAAGTGATTTTGATAAAGTAAGATTGTCTGCATAGTTATTATCAGAAACACTTTTTATATATGCAATTACTAAAAAAGGCATAAATTAATATGATAATTACATAAAAGATATATTTTATAATCTATTTTAATTTGAAAGAATAAAATTGTTAATAATATTTTTTTACCACCATAATTAACAATATATAAGACAATTAATTAATAAATAAATAATATCTGTATATATATTTATAAAATATAAGATTAAATATGTTTATAAAAAATAATTAAGGGATGTTAAAATCATATTATTGTTGAAATCTATTCTGATAGACATAATCATACTCTCTGATTTGAGCCAGAAGTAGAATGGATTCACTTATTCTAAAACTATGGTTTTGAGCCCAAAATTATTGTTTTTGTTTTTTCCTCAGTGTTTGGCAATTTTTTTGCCCAAAACATGATTTGGACAATTACCCAAACAGAAGCTTAATATAAAATCTTATTTAATTTTTATTTTGATTCTAAATATAAGACCATAATCTACTTTATTTCTCATATTTATCTTTTTTTTTCAAAATAGTCCTTCTAACAATAGTAATTCAGCTGTTACACTTTATTAATAGGGATGTTTTAGAAAAGACAATACCTATTTATTATAAATAACTAATTTAATTTATTTTCTTAATCTATTCAAATTAGTCAATTAGTTTTTATATTTAGAATATATAGTATTAATTATGGTTAAAGTTGTTACTTGTGATTTCTAAGAGGCTTTGGTTTTTTGAGTGACTTTAAATTTTCCTTAAAAATTATTTTCCTTTTATTTTTACCAACTTTGTATCAAGATATTGTTTTGGGCCACCTATAAAAAATGACCACTTGCTGACCAGTGCGGTTGGAATCTGTTTTTTTTTTTATTTGTTATTCATCATGTACATATGATTTGGCCAAACTTCATAATATATTTGGTTGTTATTGATGCTTGAATTAGGATGAATACTGTGCCCAAAAAAAAAATTAGCATGAATATTGGATAATATGGCTCATTCTAAGCCTTCATGCATGGCATTAAGTATGAATAACTCACCATATTCAATATACTACTTCGTATCTTTAATATAAGACTCAAATAAATAATTTGGAGAGATTAAGAAAATTAATTAAGTTAGTTATTTGTAGTAAATAAATATTATCATTCTTAAAATATCCTTATTAATTATTTGAATTATTCATTAATAATAACTCTTTAGCATATGTAACCACTATAGGAATTATCTAAGAGCAAAACAAATGAATAATAAAAACAAAATAGATTAATATCTTATATTTATAATCAAATTAAATATTAAAAAAATATCATATCAAGGATCGGAGGTACTATTCTATAACTTTTTTATACCGTATTAATTGTCATTGAGATTCACAAACAATACAAATTAATATTTAAGGATATATATTAGGGAAAATGACAGATAAAGAAGATGGAATATCTGAAATTCCAATTTGGGAAGCTAAGCAAATGTAATGACAATGAGGGAAGTACTTCCCAAATTGGAATTTTGAAATTCAGTGAAATGACAAAAATGCCCTTTGTCTTTTTTTTTTTAAAAAAACACCCAACCTCTCACCGGTGGCCGGCCGCCGGCAACCACCGCCGGCAATTGGCCGCCGTCGGCCGGCGGCCGCCACCGGGCGCCGCCGCCGGCGGCCGGTGTGGTGGCTGCCGGTGGAAGTTTTTTGTAATAGTTTTTTTTGTGTGTGGGAGAATATTACAAGAAGTGGTAGGGGTGGGATTTGATCCCACGACCCCTTGGCCATTTGGGCCAACAAAAGGACAGATGACCATTGGGCCATCAAAGACTTCTTAGCTTTATAATGCAAACAAAAATATAAGTTGACTCTTTTACTGTGACTCCAGCCCGTGACAATAATTTACCTCAGGATGACAAGTCTTAATTGAGAAATAACAAGTCTAAATTTGATATTAACAAAGCGACTTTTCCTGATACATAATAAGAAGTAACAGTATATTAATTAAAAATGACAGTTTATTTGAATATGACACGTCTTTACTGAAAAATGACACGTCTAAACGTGAGATTAACAATATGCCTTTTTTTTATATATATAACAAGAAGTAGCATGTACATTAATTAAAAATGACCATAATTTATTTGAAAATGACACATCTTTACTGAAAAATGACAAGTCTAAACTTGAGATTAACAATGTGTCTTCTCCTGATACATAACAAGAAGTAGCATGTACATTAATTAAAAATGACCATAATTTATTTGAAAATGACATGTCTTGTTATGTATCAAGAGAAGACATATTGTTAATGCTACTTTTTGTTATGTATCAGGAGAAGACACATTGTTAATCTTAAATTTAGACTTGTCATTTTTCAGTATAAGACATATTGTTAATGTTACTTCTTGTAATGTATTAGGAGAAGACACATTGTTAATCTCAAGTTTAGACTTGTCTTGTTATGTATCAGGAGAAGACATATTATTAATGCTACTTCTTATTATGTATCAGGAGAAGACACATTGTTAATATGAAATTTAGACTTGTCATTTTTCAGTAGAAGACATATTATTAATGCTACTTCTTGTTATATATATATATAAAAAAAAGGCATATTGTTAATCTCGCGTTTAGACGTGTCATTTTTCAGTAAAGACGTGTCATATTCAAATAAACTGTCATTTTTAATTAATATACTGTTACTTCTTATTATGTATCAGGAAAAGTCGCTTTGTTAATATCAAATTTAGACTTGTTATTTCTCAATTAAGACTTGTCATCCTGAGGTAAATTATTGTCACGGGCTGGAGTCACAGTAAAAGAGTCAACTTATATTTTTGTTTGCATTATAAAGCTAAGAAGTCTTTGATGGCCCAATGGTCATCTGTCCTTTTGTTGGCCCAAATGGCCAAGGGGTCGTGGGATCAAATCCCACCCCTACCACTTCTTGTAATATTCTCCCACACACAAAAAAAACTATTACAAAAAACTTCCACCGGCAGCCACCACACGGCCGCCGCCGGCGGCGCCCTGGTGGCGGCCGCCGGCCGACGGCGGCCAATTGCCGGCGGTGGTTGCCGGCGGCCGGCCACCGGTGAGAGGTTGGGTAAAAAAAAAAGACAAAGGGCATTTTTGTCATTTCACTGAATTTCAAAATTCCAATTTGGGAAGTACTTCCCTCATTGTCATTACATTTGCTTAGCTTCCCAAATTGGAATTTCAGATATTCCACCTTCTTTATCTGTCATTTTCCCTATATATTATCCCCTCCTTTCTACTTTCAAGAAAACAAAAATAATTAAATTTTTCTATTTGGAATCATGTTAGCTCCAATTCCTATTATTTTAGTTGAATTATTAGTAACTGCATATTTAGGATCCTAATCCGCAGAAATAAAGCAATTGCCCCAAATCTTAAAATTTTGTAACAAAGTATCAAACAAATAAATAAATTAGGCGGGAAAATGAACTAAGACTAGGAATCTGAAAGGTTAAAAAAAAAATAATAACAACATCAACATAGACTACAACACAAATTTTATGATATGGATAAATTAACATGCACTGCAGCAAAACTCAACAATTGTATAGTAAATAATTATTTTATATCTATGTACAATTTTCAATGTCCGTCTTAGCACTTTCCTCAAATCTTAACAGTGATTCCTTCATATTCATAACACACATGTACCGCAGCAACCCCGGGCACATAAAAGGACCGAGACATGTACCGCAGCCAGAAAACATGGACAAGTTAGAACGTGTTTAGATGAAACCAAATCATAATTTAAAAAATAGTTTTTAGAGAATAGATTTTGAGAAGAATATATTTTGTGAAGAATAGATTTTGTAAAAAAGTGATTCTGATAAAATGAGAGTGTTTGGATAGTTGTTATCAGAAACACTTTTTATATATGTAAATTACTAAAAAGAGCATAAATTAATATGATAATTACATAAAAGATATATTTTATAATATATTTTAATTTGAAGGAATAAAATTGTTAATAATATTTTTTACCAATATAATTAATAATATATAAAAAAATATAATTAATAAATAATTAATATGTCGATATATATTTATAAAATATAAGATTAAATATATTTAAAGAAAAATGACTTTTTTTTTGCTAACAGAAAAATATTAATTTTCTTTAAAGATTTTAAACATG